GCCTCTTTCTCCCCCACCAACCCCCCTCAAACTGTCAAAGGATGGCATTCATTGCAGTCATGCTGTTTAAATATCACCGATTTCCATCTCCTTGTGACACTCGTCAATTGGTGCAAGAAAGCCATAGTTACTGCAGATTTGGAACACAAGATGGTTTATTTTACTAGCTAAGATGCATGGATAACCGATTTCTTCAAGAAAAAAAAAAATCAACAAATGGACTGTATCAAATGTGTATTTTGGCTTATCATTTAGAAACAAACATTGTCTGGAGCAGTTATACAAAGACAGAGTTTTCAAATTGCTTTCTGTTATTGAACCATTTTTAAGGGTGTTCCTCCCCTAGCATTGACACTGTTTTGATCAAACCAGATGTACACTGCTGATAATTAGAAATTTTGTCTTATCCCTTTTTTTTTAAGAGTTAAAAAGTAGTAACATATCTATATAGATATTTAGTCTCATTGGCGTCTTTATAAAAGTTTCTGTTTTTTTTCTTTTTTGTAGAAGAGGAAGGTCGTGATCTCAGTTGCTTGGTGGCCTCTCTCATTCAGCTGATGCTGGACCCTTACTTCCGGACTATTGTTGGATTTCAGAGTCTGATACAGAAGGAGTGGGTCATGTCCGGGTATCCTTTCCTGGATAGGTGCAATCACTTGAAGAAATCCGATAAAGAGGTACTACAAATATAACCCTCAGCTGGAGGACAGCGGAGGGCTGCTTATTTGAATGTGTCAATACTGTGCATTTATAGATAAGAAAGTTGGTATTCTAGTAGGGTTATTGTGAGTGAGTAACCATTTTCTAGTGGTTTGAGGGGAAAATAAGATGATTCTTGGTACCACTGCTCAGGATAACATAATATGGAGGTTTCACTCTCTTGCTATTCATTCAAAATATTTGTATGACTAAGCAGAATTTGGCAGCTCTAAATCTCTGTTAACATTATCTACGCCAGTCAACAAACTCCCAATGCCATTAACACCAAATTAATGCAGGTTAGAAACCATGTCCGTCCAGTGGCACTGAAAGGTTTGGAAATCCACTTATTAATGTACATAGTTTGGACAAATAATTTGGAAATGTAACTTCCTCATAATGCCCCCTTGAGACACCGTACTTTGAGTGCTGGGAAACCTCTGCTTATTGTTAAACCAATTGTCAAAAACCAGAGTGACTGCTTTGCCCCCATAGCCTTCATGTACTGTAACCAATATATTGAACTTTGGAGGTGGAAATGTTTGGCCACTTATAAAGGATCCATATATTTTAACATATAAAAATGTGGAAAACCTGACTCAATAGGCCAATTGTAAATTCTTCTATTCCAACGACACAATGTCAGAGGAGTAACTGTGGTATTTGGAACCTGGGTCAAAATTTGCTTTTGGCACCATGTATAACTACTGGATTTTTTTTTTTAAATGTGTTTTGTGTCGCATCACTGTTATTTGTCTTGCCACTCCCCCCTCTCCTAGCGCCACATCATGTTTCTCTGCCAGTGTGCTGTTTGCTACAAACTACACTCAGATTGGACAGAGAGAGATGGGTATCACCCCTGAGGGATTTTTATGCTAAAAAGTCTTTAAAGTTTAGAGAATATTGTTGAGGAAAAAACATCTGGTGAGCAGCAGTTCTTTGCGTGAAAAAGCAGTAAAAAAAGCTCAAAGGAGAATCACAGGAGTGGTTCAAGCTTACAGAAAAAAAACTACTGCTAGAGAAATAATCCTGCATTAAAACAGTGCCATTGGAAAAATTCTTATTCATCACTGAATGCTCAACACGCTGCATCTTGATGTGAATTGGCTACAGCAGAACATCATAGCGATTCTACTTGTGTCAGATCAGGAAAGAAAACCAAGGCTACGTTGGACACAGGCACTGGACATAAAAAATTATAAAAACACATGGTCTGATCTGACAAATATTGATTTCTGTTTAGACATGCAGATGATAGGGTGACAATATGTCATAAACCGTGTGTTCTTCACTGCTTTGTACCAACTGTTCAGGCTGGTGGTGGAGTAATGTGGCGGGGAATATTTTTATGAAACCCAATACGCCCCTTAATACCATTGTTTAAATAACAGTTTGCCTTGGTATTCCAATGGCTTGTTCCAGTAAGAGAACGCACCACGTCAAGTACTCTCCATCTCAAATTGGTTCCACAAACCTCACAATGAGTTTAACGTACTCCACTGACCTCAACGGTCTTCAGATCACAGGCCAATATAGCACCATCAGGATATGGTGGAACAGGAGATATTCTGCATGCATGAACAGCTGGCAAATCTGCAGCAATCCTGTTATTCTATAATGCACACCTGTATCACAATCTCTAAGGAATGTGTCAAAGACCTTGTTGAATCAATGAGCAGAATCTCTAAGGCTGCTCTGGGATAATGGGGAGTCTCACTTTGTATTGGAAAGGTTTTTTAATAAAGTTGTGTGTGTGTGTGTGTGTGTGTGTGTGTGTTTGTTTGTTTGTTTGTTTGTTTGTTTGTTTCCATCAAACCATATTACATGCTACTGCAATATTAATTTATTTGCCTGAAATTCTTCCATTCAATTTAAAGGGACATGCGCTTTTCGGACTCCCACATCGTTGATGTTATGAACTTATAGAAAAATTTATCAGAATTATACTTTTACTTAAAGGACTTGCTTGGAATTCTCTGTGGATTGGATACATTTAGAAATCTGACTTAACCTAACACATGTGTTTTTTCTTCCCAAAGTGTCCCCTGTTTGTGCTATTCCTGGACTGTGTTTGGCAGCTGCTTCAGCAATACCCAGCGGCTTTCCAGTTCACTGAAACCTACTTAACTGTGTTACATGACAGCACCCGCATCTCCTTGTTTGGAACATTCCTGTTTAACTCTCCGCACCAGCGTGTTCAGCAAAGCACCGTGAGTAATGGCCAGGGATTCATTATGCATGGCGGTTTTAATTGGAGCTATTAAAATTAATGAACAGCCGTTTAAAATTCACACAAACAATAATTTCTATTTCTGAAAACCGTAGAAAATTAATATACATTGAAGAGGAAATCTACGGTGCATGTTAATCACTTTGTGCAGAAATAGACTTAGATGTTTTGTTACAATGTAATCTTCAGCGACATAAAACAGAGACTGGATTGGCCCAGCAGTTTTTCTTGTATGATAAATGAAGCTTTCCTCAATGTCTCCCAGTTGTCTTAATACATGTCTGGAATAGTGTAGAGAAAAAGCGTCCTTGTAACATTCTGTGATTCAAGGTGTAATTTATCTAACAAAATGTGTGTGTGTGTGTATATACATATACACACACACAATACAAAGCTTCTTCCAGTTGTTTCTGAAACATATTTACATAGAAATGAAGAAATGAATACAAATTTGATTAACCCACATTATAAAATTTTATTGTAAGGTTTATTTTATATGCACCTTTCTTTTTTTTATTTTAACCAAAATCTATTCTTGAGACCATAGCGAGTGTATGAAAGTCACACTTCACCTTACTTAAGTGATTTCTGGGTACCGCAATTTCTATGTCTACCCGGGGCTTCCAACACAAATGGATCCCGTTATTGTAGCGACCGGATGCCCATTGTTGATGACTTTACAGGAAGAGGATCTGGCTGCAGAAAGGAGTCTATCTTTTGTTACATAAAAAATATTTAAAGATACTAATTTCATCAGTCATTTTAGATTTAAATATAAAACCAAAGAGGAGGGGGTGCAGTAGTCGAATATGTGCAGTAGTCGAATATAAAGAAAGTAAAGCACCTAATTTAATTTTAAGTTACCATTAGTTTTCCTTTAACTATTAATGCCAACAAAAATTCTTAATAAGTTGGCAAGAAGGCAGGCTGCAGTTGCATTGATTCTGTGAGCCCTCAGAAAGACTTACTCAGGATGTTAAGTTAATTTGCTGGGTCGTTTGAGTCATTGTTTTAGATATCAAGGAGTGGTGACTGCAGATTGTTGAATGTTTGAAGAGCTGTAGCTTATGGTGCTGTTCCTACCCCATATATATATATTTACATTCTCTTACATCAATCAGTGTCTATTTGTAACTTTATCTGTGGAAACATGAAAGTCTGTATTTAAGTCTTTGTAAAGTATTGGCAGTTTGATACTGTATATATGTTGTTAAATTAATCGATTTAGATTTAAAGCAGTTAATTGCAGATGTTCTTTATGTTTTATTACATAGGAGTTTGCAATCGCTAAGAATATCCAACTGGGAGATGAGAAAGGCCTAAGATTTCCTGCCGTTTGGGACTGGTCATTACAGTTTTCAGCAAAAGACCGAGCTCTGTTTAACAATCCTTTGTACATTGGAAAGAGTGTGCCCAATGTTCAGAATGGAGCTTTGAAGTCTTTTAAAAGGTCAAAGGTAAAATTCAATATAGTATTAAAACTAAACCTATAGGGGCCAGCAGATTGGAATTGTGTGGAATCATGGCAGTTTTAGGAAAAACTGAATTTTGGTGTGATAACATGCCAGGACCTTGGCAATATGGTAATACCAAATCATCTTGTGCCCCTCTGTTGCACTGCATTATATGCCAATTGCCTTGACCAAACAGGTCTTCTGTAACCAGCCCACTGTAATAAACCATACAAGACCATATTTCAGGTTCTAGTAGCATATCAAACTTATTTTGCGCCTTGTCGTACACCATTAATTGTAAGATGAGTGCAATGAAGACAAAGGTAAAAAGGGTGGGGGTAATAATGGGACAGTGATGGAAGAGAGGAATGGAGAACAGTGGGAGGAAATACGTTTAGATACAAAGAGAGACCAAGATAGCTAGGGATCAAATACCACTGGCCTGAGAGACCAGGGCCCTAAAAAATAGTACAAGTGGTATCTCAAACATTTCTAAAATTAGAAAGGCACCCACATTTGCAAGAATTTGGGAGCCATGCTAGGATCTCACCATTATTGTTACCTATTTTGTGTTTAATAGCTAAATCTCCTTAACATGTTTTTTCTCTTTTGCACCCAGAAAAACTACAGTTCTACGTTACGTGGCATGCCACAGCCTTTGAAAAATGGGATTGTTCTACAACAAGAGCTGATTCCACGCAGGAATTCCCTAATACTCAAGCTGAGGCCTGAATCTGTGCAGCAGATGTCAGGGAGCCAGATCAGTGGATTAGAACAGTATTTTAAAGATTGGTTTTCTAAGCCAACAGACCTGCATGGGGTGATTCTTCCCCACCTGCTTGGACCAACCATAAAGCTATGGAAACTCTGTTACTTGCGTTGGATTCCAGAAGCGCAAATTAACCATGGAGGATTTATTACGGCTTTTCAAAAAATATCCATGCTTGCAGATGAGATTGAAACACTGCAAACTAGACTGCGCCAGTATAGAAGTTACCCTCTTTCCAAGGCCACTTCCCCTGAGCAAGAACAAAGCCGAATGTTTTTCAAAGCCGACGGGTTACAAAGTAGTTTTGGAAGCATGGACTTTCTCTCCTCATCATTCCCTTTTACTCCTGTTGGGAATTTATGCCGCAGAAGTATAATGGGAACACCCTTAAGCAAGTTTTTAAATGGAGCCAAAATATGGCTGTCCACTGAAACGCTTGCAACGGAGGACTGAAATGTGGACATGGGTATTCTTGCCTTATCCACGAGTGTAATTTTAAATAGTAATGCCAAGTGCTGCAAATATTTTTTTTTTTGTTTTCTCCTAGCCATACACTGATGTCCCCACCTCTTTTTGCACACAAACTAAAATGTAATTGATTCTGCTGCATACACAACATATCATGTTATGTTGTGTTGGAAAAATTAACATTTTTTTGGTATGTGGGTGTGTTACCAGTGCAGTTCCACGTAGCATCTTTTTCTTTTTTGTACTATGAAGCCACTCTTTATTTCTTAAAGTACAAATGGGGTGTGCTGCCTGGAGCTTGGCAAGCCCAAGTTTTCCTGTCCTAGAAAAAGCTGCTGGGCTTTCCTCCTATAAAGTATCAACAGATATTTTTGGTACAAAAACAATAGAACTCCCTGGAAAGTTGTAGTTTATTCCTGGGATGTAGGGTCAATACAGAAAATGGTACTTTAATCTGGCTACTTATAATCGGGTAAACCCCCTTCTTTTTATTTTTTTGTGGAGGAGAGACCTCTTCCTGCTATAGGAAAGGAACAAGCCGTACTCCAAAGTAGTCTAGTGTAAAATGTGTGAATTGATATCACCTTTTGAATTAACAGATATGAGAGATAATATAGTTTTGTTAGTCTACGTGGAGGTGCTCCTTCACTCCCTAAATACTTTGATAAACAAAGTTACATTTGCATTCCCTGGGTCAAGCAATACGTTCCACCACTAACTGGGATGTACAATAGTTTGTTTGTAGGTCCAAGCAAGTGTTTGTAGAATTTTGTTTGTTTGTTTTCTAGAGTTCTTACTGTTAAATGTATGGATGTATTACTTTTTTTTTTTTTTTTTTTTACTAATGAGTAGGAGTCAATTATCCAATCCAATAAGTTACTAATTAAGTTATTAGTTTTTGAGATGTTAGAAGTGAATGATGTACAGTAAAAACATGCAAGGTTATTCACTAAAGTTCAAAGTGAATTTCATTTTTTCCAAACGGCTAAATTTGTCTAAATCCATGTTTTCAAACTGGCTTTTTTTTTTTTTTTTTTTTAAAGCCTAAAATTTGAAAGTCACTTTGAATGCCTGACAATTAACACTTTAATGAGTATTCTTGCCAGAGTTATTTGTGGAACTGGACAATTGCACATTTGAGGCCAGAATAGTTGACTATTTTTCCCATTTTTGCCTAATTTATATGAAGCTTCATTTATCTCCATCATTTTAGTGTTTAGTTTATTAACCAGTTTTATTTTATACAAGGGCGAAAGTTCTATTTCCCAGTTCAGCCAACAGGCAAGTTCCTTTTATGGAATAAGACTTCGCAAATTTGGTACTGCCTTCAATCCACACAATTTAAACATGATGTGCACTGTTAACCCCTGCTGTAGATATAATAAATTATAGAGAAATATAGATGTAGAAGTGCCTTTAAAAACACATTTTAAATTAAAGTATGTAAATAGTGCAGAGTTAGTTGGTATATGTAAGCTATAATTTTGGTACTCTTACCTGCCTCAGCTACTTCGAAGTTACTGCTCATTCTGTTTAAAAACATCTGTCATATAAATGCATATTAACTTAAATGGACACCCAGACCACTTCTGCCCATAGGGGTTGGCACCCAGACCTCTCCAATCACCCTTAATCCTGCAAGTGTAATTATTGTAGTTTTTTTTTTTTTTTTTATAAACCGCAATAATTACCTTGCAGCGTTAAGTCCTCCTCTAGTGGCTGTCTAAAAGACGGGCACTAGAGGGACTTCCGTGTTCTTAAAACATGAGGACCTCCAGCGTCGCCGAAATCCCCATAGGAAAGCATTGAATAATGCTTTTCTAGGGGGAGGTCTAATGCGCGGGCAGATGGCGGGGGAGGAGCATGGGCAGAGCCTGATCCAGTGCTGAGGGACATATGTGCTGGATTCAGGTAAGTCACTGAAGGGGTTTTAACCCCTTCAGCAACATGGGATGGGGGGCACCGCAGGGTCCTGCAGTGCCAGGTAAACAGATTTGTTTTTCTGGCACTGGAGAGCCCCTTTAACAAATCTAAGATCTGAAGATTGTATGTGAAACTAGACAAACTACAAATGTAAAGTTCAATTTCCATAATTCCATTGTAATTTTTTGCAAGATCTTTTTCTACCACAGTATCCTACTCCGACATGCTAGGTCCCCCAAGGCCAAATATGGGCTATGTTTCAAATTGCTGTAATAATGTTTCATTAGTCTAACACTGTACGGACAAGAATTGGAAACATCCAGCATAATTCTATTATTAGTAAAGCTACGCTCCAGGTATTTCCATTCCACCAAAACATTTATCAACAGAAGAAGGCCATGTGTAGACTGTGGGGTTTATTTAATAACCAAAGACTTGTGCTGTCAAATTTGGGCCAATTTATTTTAGTTTTGTAGTAAATTGTAAGTGTCAGAAAGGTCTTAAAAGTTAGGTTCGATAAAATCAAGATGCAAAATTAGATTGAATTATGGTACATTTAGCTATGTTGATATTATCTCAAAGCAAAATAATGATTGTGGTAACTGTACTTATGTAGGGTTAATAGTGCCTCTTTCAAGATGCACAGAGAACAAAAACACTGGTCTACAGTGATCTTTAAAAGAAACTAAAAATGCACGGCAACCTTTACGTTGTGGATGCCTAGGCAGTCTTTTTTTATGTCTTCCTGCTTCTGGTAATATAATCTATGTAAAATTATGACAATCTAACCAAGCACTGTTCACGTTTATTTTTACTTTACTGCATTCTAAAGCAGCTCTATAGAGCACTGGTGACGCACAGGGAGAACAACAACCTTTTAGAACATATTCCGCATGAGCTAGATTTCTAGGATGTCATGGTCATACAACTGCTGCCCTACAGCTACCAATAGTGTCATATCCTGGATTTAGTCATTGGTCCTAACTTTCAGCAGAGCAATTGATGTTTTATACAGAGGGCCAGGGTTAATGGATTCTATGCTCTCCTTAAACATTCTTTCTTCTTGCTGTTTAAAGATAGATGTGAAGAATACTGCCGTGTGAAATGTACCCATCATATGCTAGGAAGAAAATCATATAATTCAGGCTTTAACTAATTTCTGCCCTGCAGTGTATAAAATGTACATGACAGGGTAGCAGTTGTGATGTAATTCTCAACATTGTAAAGCTCTGCAGAAATCATTTTAAAATAGGCTGTGGGTAAATCTATAGATTGCATTCTCACCCTTCCTGGAAATGGAGGAATAAACGGCAGTGTGTGCATAATGCAAATACAAACTGGAGGTTTCCATTTCTGCTGCAAGCTACAAAGATGGAACCCCTGTATTCCTGCCATTTTTACATGGGTGTCTATGAAATCCACTTTTACACTTGCAGCTAATTAAGACATGTAAGCTTCGTTTATAAATTAATTTTGTTACACACAATTTGATTAACTAGTAAAGTTTAATCTTGCAATGTTTAGTGGTACCAGAAAGACTAAAATAATTTTTATAAAATGCAATAAAAATAATCGAGTGTTTTCCTTAGAGGACGTGGTTACATTGCAACACTGTTAAATGAAGCCGCCTAGGCTGGATATCTGTTACAACTGTCTAACAGATAGCTGCCCTAACCATAGAATATAGACTCTTGGCACAGTTTGTTACAGAATAGTGTCATATAAAGCTTGTATTCATTATAGTCCACCTCCCTGCCTAGCTTTGAATTTTCTGAACAAAGATGTACGTTGCGAATACAGAACGTTCCCTAAACCATGTACATGTATAGGAGGTATTAACCAGGAATGGTGGAATGTTGATGGAAATCGAAAATGTTAGATTAAAAAGAGTTGTAGTATTCTTCTAATTTTACTACTGTGACCTAAACTTTCAAATTTCCTTCTCAACAATTCACATTTCATCACAAAGGAGGTTTTTTTTTCTATATAAATAAGTGTCCATAATAAGAAGTGCTATAGTGGTCAGACACATAGGCCTGTTAATGGTTTTAAATTCTTCTAGTGACAGTGATGATTATGCTACAACTTAATATGACCTAAGCATCTCACATTAATGCAAGCATTGCTGCTACCCAAGTGTTCTGATTGATACAGATTTGATGGTGCATTTGGCTAGGATGTGTTGAAACATTAACTATTGTGCCTCAATGGACTGTTACTCTAGGTTTACTAGCAAGGTTTTATAACTTAGATTTTTTTTTGTGTGGATATATGAACTTTAAATAAAATGTAAAACCTGTTTCCCCTTTCTTTCTAAGGTTGGTTTAACAAACTGCCATGTTGTAAATAAATTGAAATCAAAATCAGGTCTGATGATTAATATTATTTTATATACAAAAGTGCATTCATTTTATTTGATTCAATTAGTTAAGTCTATTACTTTTGGCCCCAATAGCAACCACGTGACACACTTCGACTGTAGCACCCAACTTGTTTAGCTCATGTAACCACACCATCTGTTTGTGCGACAGGCGATCATTGGGACCTTTCACCTCCACCAGCTGAAAGACAGGGACGAGAAAATACAAATTGTCAGTGGGCATAGATTTACATGCAAGGATAATTGTATTGATTACCCAATAATATAGTGTGAATTTCTATGAAGACTTAAGCAATAAATACAATGATACTGTTTCATTAAGCAAACAGTGTTGAGTAAAACCCTGCATTATTATCAGCATTTAAATAGCACCTGCATATTTCACAGAACCTTGCAATTATAGAAAGGGGACGTTTACAGGTGAAGAGCCTCCTGAAACGGATTTGAGGTAGACTCCTATTTATTGTTAGGTGTCTTACCTAAGCACATTTACACGTGAAAATGAAGCCGAGATAAAGCTGATCTGATGCTATTTTTGCTTCAGCGGTCTATTCCCAACACCGTGGAATGAAAAATAAATTGCAAAATTCAGGCTAAAATAGAATAGCTGGAGATTTTATTCTGAATCTGCCGTTTGATCTTAAATTTGTAATTCTGTCTCCAATTCACTCTTTTGTAGGGGGAAGAAAAAACTATTTTAGCATACTTTATAGTTAAAGAAAAAACAGCCTGCCTTAATATAAGAAACTCACGTTGAGGAAGAAATTGAGTTGGATTAATTGATAATGTAATAAAGGGAAGAATTTGGTTGTAGGATTGTTTGTGTTTAGCAAATAAACAATGTTATAGTATAACACATACATCCTATCGAGGGTGGTCAAAATTTACACCTACATTTTACCATTTGGATTTTTAGGTACTACAATTAAGAGTTTAGTTCATATCCCTGTGTGGTATATTTCCAATTACAACTTTCAAGATGCTGTGCCGGCAGTAAGGCTACCTTTTCTATACCCCTGTTTATCACTTTTAGATCTTTGAAGAGGACAGTGCCCAATGCTAATTAGACAGGTAAAATCTTTATCTGCTATTATATCAGGAGACATCATGTTGTTGCACATACTAAAGGTTATAAAACGTTATCTAAACAGTCCTAGGGAACGCGTGTGTGTGTGTGTGTATGTGTATGTATGTATGTAATATATATATATATATATATAATGTGTGTATTTTCATATTCTGAAGCCAGGGACCAGGCTTACTGCAGCTAAAATATTTGCATATCACAGTTCATTATAAGCAACTGTGAGCTGGAAGATGGGAACAGGTAACCTCTTTGCACCATCCCGTATGCAACAATCCAAAGTTATTGAGTGAGCTGTTTGGAGTGTCCCTTTCATCATGTAAAAATATTACCCAGTGCTGCCATCAACTGGGTACAGGATGTATTACAGCACTTATCTGCCTCCAACCCAATGCATACGGAGAATTGACCAAATACTATTCCAGATGTTTTCACCTTCCTAGCAATAACAATGCTGCCCTGAATGCAATAATATTTGGCATGTGAGATTACCAGAAGCCTGTGCATTCCTAGAAAACTGTAAGAAAGGAGAGTCCCTATGCTCACATGCTAAAACCAGTGTGATGGTCTCAAAAGGCAGTGCATTTGGATTTTGGACGCACTGTTGTGATTCCCTAGCAGATTGAATTGGAGGGAGGAAACGGGTTTAACATCCCCAAACCTGACATAATACAAAGGAGGGATTTATTGAAACCTAAAGAAACAGAATATACCATTAATACTCACGATATACAGCGATTGCTCAAAGCTATGGAAACATGTCCAGTCATTTACCAAAGAATTGACTAATGTACGGCAAATTATCCAATGTTAAAAATGGTTCTAGTTCAGTGGTTTTGACTTGAAAGTTGTAATTCCCTGGCCAATTCCCAGATTAGGGAAAACTCTTGCAGGGGTGGGCATGGGTGGAGTAGGAAGCTTTTGGAAATTTAGTAAATTCCCTATGTCCCTGCACATTACTACCTGAAGGTCTAGATGTAGGCTCAACCCTAAATACGGCAACATGATTTTTTTTTTGTTTTGTTTTTTGCTCTGACCTGCTTCTCTAGGACCACATGGCTTCAGCATTCACTGGATTGACATACATATAATACACACATATTGTGAGTATTAACATAGACTGGTTTTAGCATGTGAGCATAGTGACTCTCCTTTCTTACAGTTTTAAATAGAAAAATGAATTCAGGAGCAATGTTCTAAAACTAACAAACGGTATAAACATTTCATTGTAACTGATTTAGTGCCATGATTGTCATCCTTTTCATATAACTGCTATTAAGTTCGTAATCAAAGGTACGGTTATTACATTGCTGCGCAAATGTGAAGGAATAAATAACATCAGATGAAAGAATGAGGGTACTAGAAAAAGTAATAACAGGAACATTATTGACTTATAAAGTAGCCTCTTTGTAAAACCATTATATTTTCATCCCAAGAAATAATGCCCCTTTTTAAGCATGACAATACTATGGTAGCCTTAGCAACGCTGGCTAGAACAATTCCCAAATCCTTTGCATGTGTTATCTGTAATTCACTACCCCTTAGGGTTTAAGTTTCTTGCATTCTTCACCCAGAAGTGAATAACTTTACCTTTATCTACGTTAAATTTCATCTGCCATTTGAGTGCACAGTTCCCTCATCTATCTAGATCCATCTGCAGGGAAGTAAGAGCCTGCTCATATTGTATCATACTAAGTACTGTGTCATCTGCAAACATGATCCCCAATGCCTATTTCAAGGTTTTTAATAAGTATGTTAAATAGAAGCGGTCACAGAACAAAACCCTGAAAATGTGCAGCTTGAAAATGATTAGAACACAGAAGGAAGCAGGCACGCATTAAAGATTATAATATATACTCCATACACATTTTTGTCAAACTCACAATACACTTTCAAAAGCTATTTTTTCCCCCTTTAAAGTATTGTAAATCATCAACATATTAATCACCGTTTGGCAGATAACACTCTGATATAACTCTCCACCCCAATCTCTCTCCCTCTGTCCTTTTTTTTGGATCAGTGACTACTTATCTTACAATACTTCCTGCATAACCTTTCACTACCTAAAGATCAATATGTCCAAAACTGAGCTTTTCATTCTCCTTTCCTAGCTCTACTCCAATTTATGACTATTCTATCACTGTTGATGGAATCTGTATCTACCCCTCATCCCAGATCTATTACCTCTGAATAACACTTGACTCCTAAGTGTCCTTCACCCCCCACATCCAATCTGATTCTTCATCCTGACGCCAACACCTACACAATATTTCCAAAATCTGTTTCGGACTGCTGATACCATTAAGCAACTCACCCACTTCCTTGTTGTGACTACTGTTATAATCTACAAATTGATCTTCCCCTCTCCCTTCAGTCCATCCTAACTGAACTGGCTAATCCACCTGTAGAACTGTATCTGCTTCACCTCTCTACGAGTTCCTTCAATGGCTCCCCATTGAAAGCAGAATAACATTAAAAATTCTCACCCTGACCTACAAAGCCCTTACTAATGCTGCTCCCGACTACTTGTCCTCAATCATCAACAAATATACTCCAGCTTGTCACCTAAGATCCAACAAGGAGCTGCATCTTCCATTATCACCCTCTACCCATGGTAGACTGCAGGGTGTCTCTTGTGCAGCACCAATCCTCTGGAACACACTTCCTAAAGACCTTTTTGATCAGCTAAGCCTTCCACTTACCCAAAAAATATTCTAAACTCACTCTGTATTCACATTATTCACACCTTTGCAGTCCCTAACCTCCCTTGTCCAGCTTCTACTGTCCACCTAGATTTCTAGCTAAAGTTCCACTGGAATAGGGCCTTCAACTCATCCTGTATTTGTTATAAAATTTTGCATTGTCTCTTAGATTTATTGTACCTATGTCTTTTTACTTGTACCAGCTGTACCCATGAACGGTGCTGCTAAATGTGGTGGCACTTTATCAAGTTTAATAATAAGAATTGCATTTCTGATTGCCTTTACATGGCCTGCCACTGAAATCTGGAATTTGGCACCTAGCCTCTGGGTTATTTCTGCACATCTTCTATAAGAAATAGCTATCAGGGTGTTGGTTATTTTGACTGAATGATTACCTAGCTGAAAGCTGTTACAACCTTTTATTTTCTTATCTCATTTGCAGGCTTTCAGTTCACAGTGTCTAATTACACACACTGTGCACATTTTTAAAGAATTCTTTGTTAGAGCTGTACTTTCTAACTTGGAATTTTGCATAAACGTATGGAAACATTACCTTTTTGCAATGAATTAGAGTGATCAAATTCTAACAAAATATTTGTAAAAGCAACAAAACAATTTTGTTTGCGGATCAATGATTTTAGCATCCCGAGCTGAACAATATTTATTTTGAACTGAGGTGGCCAATAGGAAGATAAGTAACTAGTGAACCTTAAAAACCTGTAATTCTCAATCTGGATTTGGTTGAAAAATGAATCTGTGTTGATCACAGTTCTTTCTTAACCAAGGCTAGGGCAGTTATCCCAGTTACATCCATCTGACTGTACGCAATATTATTCTTACCTTGTATTGTTTTGTCTGCATGTTCCATACAACTAAGTCAGGGAGTCCTCCTCTGCAATGTCTTATGTCTTTTGACATGATCTTGCACACGCCACTTAAAAAAGGACCTCCAAAGCAGGACACCAGGCTCTGTGAATAATATTAACAATCAGTGTTTAAAATCATTTTTATTTACCTTATAAATCAGAAAAGCTGCACTCTTGTGGTTTGTTCAGGTACTACATTTTGCACAGTTAGCAACTGATTTAATGTACATGTTAGGAAGCCCATTTCTCTCGAATGTGCAGAAAGACCATTTTTACTGTAAACAAAGTTCACATTTTGCTTATTACACTTTGGAATTTGTTTAAAGTCACAATCACACATAACAAAAAGTGCTCATACACTATTACTTATCCAGTAGGTGCATGCCAGTATTTTCAAACAGCTCATTGCATAAGAGTGATCACCTGAAGTTCTCAACCAAAGCTAAGCTTAGCTCCTGAGCTTTCACAGAGCTGTAGAGAAGGTATGGTGGACCCCAGGGGGGGGGGGGAGGTGGGGGTGCCAGGGCACTTCTGAAACCATAACTACTACAACATGCTATAGTGGATATGGTGCATGGAATGTTGCTTAAATCCCTTTAGGAACTTATGTATCTTTTAAACAATGCGTCTATAAAATTAAAAAGCCTAGCTTTATCCAATAAAATGTAAAAACAGTGTATTTAGTCATATTTATAAAGTTACTTTCACATGTATGGCTGTACGTTGCTTTCCCCTTTACCCCAGTGAAGATCACTGCAACACATGCTTTGAAGTGGAGGTAGGTAAGAATCTACTTCCCTCCAACTCACAATAATGGTTCTCACTCTAAAAGTTTCTGAATAGGGTTTGGAAAGCTTTTCAATATAATCCTTATACTCATGACTTTTAGCGTCTCACAAATGCTCAATGTGTTCTCTTTTAGCTTCCCAATAAACCCACAATAGAAAAAGAAAACTTAAAATGAGTGGACTATGTTTAATGTAGCACATCCACTTTGCTCAGTTTAAGGTTATGTGTTTATTTTCACTACAGTGATCTACAACTTCTATGTTGCTTGTTGCTATGTTGTGTATGTTTATAGTTATTATATATAGGCATTTATTTATTAATGTAAAATGCTCTGGAAAAACAGACCCGAATGCACCTAAAAAGACACTGTAGGCATTTTACCAACTTCATCTTATTGAAGTTGCTATATCGTCGTCGTCGTCCCCCCCCCGTCCTACCCCTCAAAATCCAATATTAAGGCTTGGAAGTGTGGCTTTTTTATTGCCATTCGCCTACGTTGCGCAATGCTCCTCTGTGAGTGAGTGCCGAGGGAGACTTGGCTACCATGAATAGGTAATTTGTTCAATTAAAAAATAAAATAAAAAAATTTACACAAAGGGGGCCTAATTGGTAAGGGGCATCCAGGCTGTAATGTTAGGAATACAGATATGTGTTCCTTTAATATGAAAATCCTCTACAGTGGCAAAAGAGGCATAGCTATTTGAGCAACTAGATCAACTAATTGCAGAATTGCAATAATCCATGGCTGTTCTTAAAATACAGGTCGCTCACCTGGGCTTGTTGTAGAGAGGTGAACCGCTCCCAGCTGACCAGTGCTCCTGCTTCACCCTCATGAGCACTCCACACATCAGCAATCAGCTGGACCAGGGTTTCTGGGCAGGATTCCTCTAAGAGCCGTAGCCGCGTCTCTACAGCTTCCTTTCTATTCTCAAAGAAACAGTCTGTATATAAATCTAGAGGGAAGGACTGCAACCAAACAAACAATTTTATTAAACCACTTTCTGAAATATCACTTACAGATTAATGTCTAACGTCATACCGACAGGTAAAAATATTGCTACCACTGTGTGGAAAGGATAGTTTAAATTCATCACCATTATCTGCACTAAAAGTTAGTATGGAGAGGCTTGTTTTAGACAGTACTAACACATTCTATAAAACATCATGGGAGCAACATTGATGTATGAACTTCTAAAAACCATCATTAATCAGAAGCCGGTTTTGGAGCCAATTATTCACTTCCTACAAGGAGGCTTTAATAAAACTGAAAGGTTCATTACATACTCCACGAGGGATACAAGTAGCTATGGTAAGTAAATAAATACATAATATGTCTGCCTTCAAAACACATTTGTATAAGGTTTGAGACTTAAGTCTATAACTTGAGTTTCAAGTAAGTTCTACTGGCTCATAAATGTGTGATTCCTGAAATTAAATAATTTAGCAGATTGAATTAAGATAGTGATTTAGAGGACAATAGTATCTAAAGGGCCAGATAAGAAGGACATGAACCCAGATTAGGATATAACAATACCAAGAACTTTGTAACATCCAGCCCAAAAAGGTATAATATTAAATTGTAACTTTTAATAGTCTACAATAAACAATTTTAAAGTAACAATATCCATTAAATATAATATGCATGATGTAAAAAGCCTTTGGAGAAAAAAAATAACACAAAGAGCGCACTAATTAGTAAACAGTTTAGTGTACCATCCCTAAACCAACGGCTAAAATATTGACATAAGTAAAAAAAAAAAAAAAACTTCCCACAATTTTCGGCTAACCACACTAATTGGTAGCCAAAAATAACAGCATTTAACTTCATAGGTAGATACACAATAGGTCCTGGCCAGGTACGGGCTGTCAAATAGTAGTATCAGGAATGTAAGGGAGACAAAAGGTAAAAAGTAGTGAAAAACAGGGGAGGGAGAAAGGGCCCTTTCCTCTTACTTCCACCTAACCTGTGCCTTCGAGGGCACCTAATCTCACATTCCCCTAGACTGCCAGTTTCCTAAGGCTACGACAATAATAGTCCGTGATAATAAACTTAAATTTAAAAAAAGAAAAGAAAAATAAGCAGTTAAAAACAAACACTGTGGAGAACAGTTAAATATCTTGCAAGGACAATAATCTATGGGAGGTGTCTCCATTCAAATGTCTACCCTGTATCTTAGACCGTTATACACAATGTCTGAAGTGCCGACATACGTTTCGCCACACCATCGGGCTCTTCAAGGCTAGACATTTAAAAACAAACACGAGTACTTTATTTCTGGTACCATTTTTTCCACGTGCAGTTATAAGCTAAGAAAGTCGGTCTCATTCATCCAAAACTATTTTAAATTGGATTTATGTCCCACGTCATAAGCAATAATCTTCGTCTGTTTTGGTATCACATAAGGTAACAAACAACTGGTAGATAGCAATGTTTAGGTTGATTAGACTTACTTTAAAAAAATTAAAAAAATGGATGCATGCTGTATCTTTAGTTTAATAAGTATAAAAAAAAGTAGTGATTGCACATTGAATTTATAGTTTGATTATATTTGAATTACCTGGTATGAATTTCTAAAGACATCTGGAATACCCTCCATAAATATAATGTCCCACATAAGTAAACCATATAATGTGCTGAATGTGGATCCTTCTCCGTGGATTCCTGGAGGAAGATGGTAGATAGATTGAGTTCAGGATTTGTTTTGTTCATTTTTCAACATTCATTCGAACACATAAAGGGTCATTCTAAGAACCATCACCAATCTGAACCCAGTCATCTCAAACCCAGGCACTTGGAGCGGTCAGTTCCGGGAGCGAAAGCTCTCATTTCTGGCTGCCTGATATAATAACTGATTGTCCAACTTGCACAATAAGTGCATACCGCAATGCGTGGAGTGGAAATGCCCCTGTGGGATAAACTGCTCATTCCATAAATCTCTGCAGACAGTGATTTATAGGATAAGAATAGACTTCAAAGACTACAATGTCTTCATTGAAGGTCTTTCCTTGTTGTAGCTCGAGGCATATCCACTAAACAGCAAAAGGATATTTTAAATGTATTGGTTTTATATGTTTTAAATATTATCTATAGAAAGCATAAAAAGAGGACAGTGGGCTGTAGAAATTAACATAGCAAATACTTTGTATGCAAAAACTTTAAACCTTATTAAGAAGGGTCGGGTCACAATAAATGATCTAGGAGAGATCAACAGAAAAAAGAAGCTATAAAATGATACTGGAGAGAGAATGACTGTGATGCAGAGTAGTCACCATTCACTGCAAACTCTGTATAATCCATATTTTATTTATTAAACAACAAAAAACCACAGAGCCAATTTTACCCCACAGTTTTCCTTTACAATTGTAGAAGGCTGTCCCGAGAACGAGGATATTCTGAACACTCTCCACGTTGCCTAAACTTTAATCTATGGAAGTATACAGCTTGGAGTATAAGGATGTCTAGATAAACAGGTGCATTGCTAGATTGTATTAAACATGCACACCGTTGTGAGGAACCGATTCCACATGTACACACAGAAAATACATACATACGTAGGTGGAAACAAACATGCACCTGCTTTTGTACAAACGTACGGAACATAGAACCAACATGCACATATTTATTTATATGCATATATGTACATAACATCTGGAACTATGATCCAGTAAAATAAATCTGGGCAACGTTCCAAGCAAACAGAGAGCATGTTAAAACATAAGGTCAGCTCTCTCAGGAGTGATTTAAGCATTATGAGATCATTGCAAGCCAAATATCCAGTCAAGCAAAAACCTCGGTGAAAACCTTGCAGACATTGAAAGTGATTAGTATGCCCATTTATTTATAGAACAGTAACAAATTCTGCAGTGCTTGATATAGTATTTAGAATGTGACAATATTTCGAAGGTCAACACCAAAGTAAATTACAAAGAAAGCAACTGTGAACAGCCAGGACACAGCAGAACATGGCAAAATGTGCACACTGTTCCCCTCATACCAATATATTATTGTGACAAAAGGATAGATTTTTGCCAACATTTATTAGGTAGACTATATTAAACATTGACAGTTCAATTCAACATGTGTTAGTTGCTCTCTATAAAGCTATAGCTCCCAGAATAATATAAATCGCAAAGATTGGATAGAGAACACTGGGAACATAACAGATTTCCTATGATGGAAGGAACAAAAACAGATTATTGAAGATAGGGTCAAAAATATGGGAAGTATGAAACAGAGAGAGATCAAAGCATGTATTGAAACAGGGAGTCATACTCTCTTTCGTTTATAAGTGCACAAAGAAATAGAAACACAAAGGTACCTTGATCAAAGCCCTGATCTCTGTAATGGGCCAGAGCCAATTCCTCCACTGAACACATCACAGTCGAAACACTATTCTCTTCCCCAAGATCCCCAGTGATGTCCTCCATCAAAAACACAGATTTGCCCATCCCAGTGTTAGGATACAGCTTGCCTTTGATGGTAACCTGTGCATTAATTGTGAGCATAGTTACAAATACAAAATCATACTATCTTCTAGCAATTGTATGTTTATATATAAACATGTTAAACAAAAATCTGCACACCAGTCAAGCTCTAAGACTTTCTTTTCCCACAGAAATCACAAATCTGCAGTGATGTTACTATCGCAAAGGATTCTGGGTGGGCATTTGCAAATTAGTTTAACAAGGAATCACTTTTTTGCCTCATTCCATTTTAAACATGGATTCTTTTGAGTCTGTGTTTGCTGGTCTACTGCCACGCATGCGCATTAGGTCTCCCCCGCCAGCTGACGTGGGTGGGGGAGGAGCGTGGTCAGAGGTAAGTGGCTGAAGGAGTTTTAACCCCTTCAGCCCCCAAGTTATAGAACAGTTTGACTTCTTACCTGCAACTTGCCTGGCAAAGCTCCCCACTTCCCTGCTGGCAGAAGTGAGAGCTGATAGCCACTGTCCAAAGCTGATCACTCTCAGCCAATTAATAAGCTTTGCACCACTGGGCTTATCTCAGAAAAAGAACTTAAAGGAACACTATAGAGTCAAGAACACAAACATGTATATTGTGTTAAAACCAGCATTTATCCCCCCTGGCCTCCCCTTGTCCCCTAAATATAGTAAAATCTTACTTGTAATATAATCTGCAGCTGCTGCCTCAGCATCTGATCTGACTGCTTGGCTGACATCATCAGGAGTGTTGATCTGAACCAATCACAATGCTTTCCCATAGGATTGGCTAAGACTGTCAAGGAGGCAGATCAGGGCAGAGTCAGCACAAGTCAAACAGTCCTGGCCAATCAGCATCTCCTCATGGAGATGCATTGAATCAATGCATTTCTATGAGGAAAGTTCAGTGTCTCCATGAAGAGGGTGGAGACACTGAATGGTAGTACTGCCCACTATGCAGCACTACCCCAGAAAGCATCTCTAGCAGCCATCTGAGGAGTGGCCAGTGGAGTTATCCCTAGGCTGTAATGTTAACACTGCATTTTCTATGAAAAGACAAAAAAGCCTGAAAGGAATGATTCTACTCATCAGAACAAATACAATAAGCTGTAGTTGTTCTATTGACTATAGTGTCCCTTCAAAGCTCTTACCAAGTTGGAATGGAGGCAAGACGCGGCACCCAGCAGACCCGGGTAAGAAGTCAAACCGTAATAAAACGGTTTAACTACTTACAATGAGGGAGCACCAGGGCACTCCTGGCACCAACTCGCTGTAGTGGTTATGGTGCATGAAGTTTTAACTTTAATAATGATTCAGTACTAAAACTGATGCTTTACCGGTCAACAGATTATAAGATATCTACTGAAAACACAAACACTAACATACTTATATGCATACTAAAAAAAAAAATATAAACATGATTACGTTGAACTCACATGAGGGACATCATCTACTTCAAGCGTTAGTAGATCAGAAAACATGTGGCGGAACTTTTTGCAGCTTGGAGATTCTCTCATTCGGACAGCTCGTTGGTAAAGAGAAAGTTTGTGACCTGTCCGCACATAAGGATCTGACAAGCCTTCCATGATGAAGCCAATAGCCTAAAAAAAAAAATTGATAGAAGACATTTACAGTTATACAGTATTTATGAAATTTACATTGCTGAAGAAGTGCGGCGATTTAAAATATGTGATTAACAAGAACTTATTACTAATTGATGTAATCAGGGTACCAAGAATCCCTTGGCAGGAAGTGAGTCAACCAAACATGTTGCTCACTTATCTTTTTATAGCACTTCTAAATTTAATGGGCACAGCAAGTGCTTGTGGGAATTTCAGTGTTCTTTTTTTCCTGAGAAAGGGCTGCAATATATTGCTGTCTTTTAAGACCAAAGTGCAACAATTATGTTATACATGATAACAAAGCATGTTACCTTCTCTGTGCACTTCAAATGCTGGTGCAGATTGAGGACCAGTCGATCCCACCAGCGACCTCTGCTGTCAGGGCAGTATACATGCTGAGACAAGAGAGTTTGCAGCAAATCCACAGCTTCCTATAGGAACATAAAAATGTATTAGTACATCACTCCTCCAACATATTAAGATTAAATCTTCAGAGTTTACAATACTGTGCAAATGTTTCAGGCAGGTATTAAATACCGAAAAGTAAGAATGTTTTCAAAAAAATATACATGTTAATAGTTTATTTCAATCAATTAACAAAATGGAAGGAGAGTGTACCGAAGAAAAATTCTAAAGCAAATATTTGGTGTGACCAAATTTTGCTTTCAAAAGAGCATCAATTATTTTAGGTATACTTTAACAAATGCATGGATTGTGTAGATATATAATCAGATACATGAATAAACAATTGTACCAAAAAAGATGCTAATGATCACTTAATATGTATGTTGAAAAACAATGATTACGTTAAAGAAGAATTGATGTTTTCAAGGCAAAGGGAGGTCACACAAAATATTGATTTGATTTAGTGTGACCACCCTTTGCTCTATGTTCTGTTTACTAACATTGCATTTTGTTAAATTATAAAAATAAACGTGACGGAGCACCCGGTCACTATGGACTGATGCAGGACTTCCAGCCACCACCTTCCCCTGAAATAGCTGTATATGACTTGGTTATCCCCTTCCATGCAATGCCTCTCGGCTAGACTCAGGGACTAACAGGAGGCTCTTAGAGGAACAGCACGACTGACCAGGAGTTACTTGAAAATCTCAAGGGACTGTAGATCGGATTCCGAGACTTCATCAATGTAGCTCTCAGCTCCAGTACCTCCAAACAGGGAGAAATTTGGAAGCATTATCGGGGAGATGGCCAGGTACCCAACGATACCCAAGATGGAAGGGAGCTTCCGATATGGGACCTGCCAGCAGTCGACATCTAAGAACGGGACTTTCCACCCAGCTTCCTGGAAGCTCACAGCCCGTAAAATTTTCTCTTCAGATTACTCCAGCTGGACATCTCCGATCAAGGTGCTTTTTGAACTCAATACTACCTTGGAGAGAGAGCATCCGTTAAGCTGAAAAATAAATGTATGTTTTTGTGGGACATGGTTTTTAGGCACCCTAGTGTCGGGCCGTTAAAAAAGTTATCTTGGATGATCAAGCTATTTCTCAGACACAATGTATTGAAATATATGGTGTTCTTCAATGACCCCATTGGGGACTGTAGTATCAAAATACCACTGTCACCCAATAACGTGTTTGTGTGGTGCCCTGCATCAAGCCTCGGCTGATGATTGGAATAATGGCTATAATCACACTGGATCATACTCGGTGGATAAAGGGATTGCCTGGTGGCGATACTCCAGTTAAATGCAAGTGGTCCACCACAATCAACTATTAACATTTCTATTTATAAAAGCATTCTTACTTTACAGGATTTTTAGGCCCACTCTTCTGGAACAGATTTAGTTAAAGTTATACCTATCTCAGTATCCTGTTACATTATGTTTATATTGAACCTGATAACTTACTATTTAGAATCTGATTTATAAGAGTCAATGTAATGCAAAGCCACTGTTACAAAAAGTTTTTAAATATAGATATTGCAGATACAGCTTAAAAAAAAGAAAAAAAAAAAAAGATACAGCAGTACATAAAAAACAAACAAAAAAACCCTGAAAAGTAATTTAAATTTTTTTTATATTTACTTCTGTTCAGCGAATTCACAAACCACTATGGCTCCTAGAAGATAAACAAACAGAACAAACTTAACAAGAATAATTTGATGCACCTCAAAGGACCCAGAAAACAAACGTTGAAAGTCATTAACCTCTTAAGGACCAAACTTCTGGAATAAAAGGGAATCATGACATGTCACACATGTCATGTGTCCTTAAGGGGTTAAACATTGACAAAAGTTCTGCAGAAACGTTTGTTTTGTGTCCTTCATTACATTTTCTTGTTACGCTTGTTCTGGTTATTTTTTGTTTGCAGAAGATCTTGGCACTAACTCTCCTCGTGCTGTAACCATAATATAATCTACCCACGATTTAAAAAGGGTAGCTATACATTAAACTGAACAGTACTTATACATCCAGATTACTGGACACTGGCAAGATATAAAAAATATTCAGACTTTTCAATTATAGATATTCATGTAGTTGTGAATGATGATGCACAGCAGAGATAATTACACTAATATCTAAACCAATTTAACCATACCGAATACAAGTGTAGCCTCTGTAGGATCTCTACTCCTCTTGAACGAATTCTGGTATACACCCAACCAAAAGTAAAGGAGCGCAGGTATACAGGCAGTGATTCATGGTGCCTAAAGAATATACATATCTATAATCTCTTACAGAATCAGGATTACTCTCACACAGAGAGAGAGAGAGAGAGAGAATGAAAGAGAGACAATGAAAGAGAGAATATATATATATATATATATATATATATATATATATATATATATATATATATATATATATATATATATATATACACACACACACACACACACACACACACATACATATATATACACATACACATTAAACAAACAGAAGGAGGTTGCTTTATTACACTGGATTCTGTGATGTGATAGACTATTGATCTCTAAAGGGTAACTCAGGCTATGCTGTGAACAATGGACAATCCTATGAATCTTTTTAATTATATTTACATTTTATTTAAGAAGGGAGAGATAGCTTCAATTTGCAGAGTCCCTTTTACCTACCTACGCAATACTCTACTAAAAAACTAAAGATGGCTAGTAAATCAATTTTACAATTCACTCTCATATCACAAGGTTGCAAATGTACCAAATGAACATAACAGGATCTCCAAAATGCAGACTTTGTTACAGTGTAATGGCAATGTTTCGACTTACATGAGTGGCCTGAGAAAGGCTTGTGTGAGTCAAAAGGTTGCCATCCCCTGATCTGTTATTTGCCCGTTCAACAGCTTTGTGTGTGTGGCTAAAGTTCAAATAGGAGAGCAAGACTTAGTAACTTCTAAAGTGAAGACTGTGCTGTAAAAATGTGATATTTTTATTAGTAAGCCACAGGCCGCGGAGGTGTGGCTGAGTTTACATAAACAATATGATTTATTCCTAAATGGCAGACCTCAGCAGTAACAAACCAAAACTGCTTCATTAAACTAAAGTTGTTTTGGTACTTACATTATTCTTTTTAACTTTCAAATGACAACTACATACCTCAGAAATTAACAATGCTAAAATCACTGGAAATAAAAGATCTTCATATCATATTTTATGTTCCAAAGAAAAACATGGCACATGCAAGGTTAATAGGGAGATAGTGTAAATGTAAAGACAGTCAGGTATCAGACATCAGCTGGTAGTTCTGCCTATTGTTTTAGAATACATACCTTAGCACCACATCACTCTTCAGCTCATCCCAGTCCTTAACAGCATTCTGATAAAGCAGATGTGCTTCTTTCCAATTGCCATTAGTCATGGTAACAACAAGCTCCACCAGCTTATGCATTGCAGACTCATATCTAAATGAAAACAAGACTTTCGTTTGATATTGAAACCGTGTGGTATACATTGATACTTTAAATAATACCATAATTACCTCATTAGGTCTTCTCGATCCTGAAAGATGCTGGTGGTCTTACTGACAGTGTATGGTGGAAATATCACTCGCCCCATGTTAACCATGAGCACTGTAGAGAGCTGAGTTTGTCCTCCACCAGCAGCCTCCTCTACTTCCATTGAATCAGTCAATGAGAAAAGGAGAAGAACACGTGAGAACACAGCCCTGGGCTCTCTGCACACACGTACTGCACGTCCAATAAGCTGCTTACACCTACATTTCAAGAAGATCCAACATATGTCAAATACATACTAAATGCTAAAGGCCTAACAGAAACAAGATCTGATTAACATAAAAGAAACAAGGTTAGTTGTAACACTTATTTCTTCCACAATGATCAACTCAACGAGCATATATCTGCTAAACAGAGCAGATTTGTGCAGTAGCATTCCTGTGAGTCATAATAACTTTGTAAATATGGATATCTTCAAAATTGCAAAACATTAGGAGTAACAATCTAACTTTAAAGGACCACTATAGTGCAAGGAAAACATACTCCCGCCGGGCTATAGGCTGAGGAAGGGGTTAAATTGACCTCTTTCTCCAGCGCCAGGCAGGGGACTCTCCTCCTCCTCTCCTCCGCTGAATGTGCATGCACGGCATGAGCCGCGCGTGCATTCAGCCAGTCCATAGGAAAGCATTCACAATGCTTTCCTATGGACGCTGGCGTCTTCTCACTGTGAAAATCACAGTGAGAAGCGCTTAAGTGCCTCTAGTGGCTGTCAATGAGACAGCCACTAGAGGCTGGATTAACCCTATTATAAACATAGCAGTTTCTCTGAAACTGCTATGTTTATAGAAAAAAGGGTTAAACCTAGCTGGACCTGGCACCCAGACCACTTCATTAAGCTGAAGTGGTCTGGGTGCCTATAGTCGTCCTTTAATTATTACATAGAAGATACAACTAACTCTAGCAATACTAGAAAAAGTACTGTGCCTTTAACCCTTTAAGGACACATGACATGTGTGACATGTCATGTTTCCCTTTTATTCCAGAAGTTTGGTCCTTAAGGGGTTAAAGGAAAACTCCAATTACCATAACCACTACAGTGCACAGTAGCAGTTTTAGCCCCAGCCCCATTGTAAAAAGTCAAACCGGTTTAGAATGGTTTGACTTATTACCTGGTTTCACTCACAACCTCCTCTCAGCTTCAAGCAGAATTGAAGGTACTGAATAGGAGAAGCAGTTAGCTCTCCTGAGCCAAGTCTTGCAGTGCAGGGACACTTCATGCAGTATATAGAGCTTAGTTGGGCAGTGAGCTTCTAGCTTGTCTGAAGGCTGCATTGGAGCAAGGAGCAGCGTATGCCAGACCCCAGGTAAGAAGGCAAACTGTTCTAAATTAATTTGACTACTTACAAAGGGGGGGTTGGTTCCAGGACACATCCTGGTACCATAACCACTACCGAGTGATATAATGGTTGAGGTTCTTGAATCATTCCTTTAAAACTGTGGCAGTTTTTCACCAAATTGCAGTGAATTGAAAAGGAAATTCTGATTAACACTGCAAAACTGTAACTATAGAGTTAGAAATGTATTCCAATTTGGGCAATTTAGCCTAAATTTAATATTGGGTTTTAAATTCACCACAATATCATGTTCATTGGTTACACTCATAAATGTCTGGTAAAATAGTTCTGTTGTGCTCACATCCTAAATAACACAAATAAAGAGGTGAAGGGTTACTTTTTAAGGATGACAGCAGCAATGCCAAGCTGGTTCTTTCCCATGTTGAAAAGCGAACGCTGCCGAGACAAACGCAGGAACTCATCTACCAGCTGATGTTTTTGAGCAGTAGCATTAGCCAAGTGAAATCCCTTCGCCAAGGTCTTCAGTTCTGGTGCTGGGAGAAGGTCCAGAGCTTCGGATAGCTCTTGCAATTCTGAGTCTGCAAAGAAATATCAATGGAATAAGGAACATGTCTTCTTATCCATACAATGCAACTCATAATGCACAATTTAAAAAATAAACAAACAAAAAAAGATGTCCCTTTATTGGCAGTACAGCAAAGTTTTGACCGTGTCTTTATCAAGAAATGCTTGATAAAGACACACAATCGAAACATTGATGTATTGCCAATAAAGGGACATCATTTTTTCACAATAAAGAATGCTAGATATCTTTTTTGTTTATCCTTTGAAACTTATCCGGGAAGGCACCATTGCACCCTTAAGAAAATTATAAGTGAGTGCTCTCTCATACTATTGTTATTTATAATGCTCAAGGCTATAAGGCTCCAACAGCCCTTTCATGCATTTTGGCCTGAATGTGTGTATATTTGTCCAATTTTGAACTAATCACTTTGGAGATATTACCAGTTTCCTAGAAATTGCACCACTGAATAAAATATTAAATGAACACAACAAACACCTAATGTATCTGGGTTTGCTGAAATGCTTTATGTGTAAAGAGTGTGCCTTTCTATTTTACAAAAAGTGCAGATTTCAATAGATTGTGACTTTTTTTTTTATTTTTTTTTAATTAACCTTGTTACAACCCCCTGGCTGTCAGACAGCCGGTCCTTTTACTTGTGTTTATCTCAATGGAGCTAAACTCAAGGGGCAGCAATTGTTCAGAACACCTGATTTGCAAAGCCATCTCATTGAGCGGCATTCGGAAGTCTGTGATTGGATAGTCGCAGAAAGTGTGGATGGGGTTAGAAAGGGAGGACTAGCAAAGGCTGCAGACAAGGTCTGTAGATTTTGCAAGCTGCTTATAGGATCTATCCAGCTGTTTGGAACCACAGCCAATCACCTCCTTAAATCCCCATACAGAGTGGTGTCAGGGAGGGACTATTGTACTGTGCATAGCATTGTATGGAGGACCCTCTGCAGATAGAATTAATATTTCTCTGTAAAATAGATGTGTTGCATGCAATAAAGATCATTCTATCCCTACATTCAGTCTTGAGGAATATGTGTGAGAAAAACTATAATAACTGCAGAAGAGAAGGTCCAGAGGAAAGAGAGCTATAACTGCTGCAATTAGGTCTGGTTTATGAGGTCTTCAGAGACCCTAGTCAAGCCTCGTCAACTGGATCTGTAGCGCTCCAGAGTCCCCTGGTAGCAGGGAGGAAGCTAGCCTGGTAGAGGTACTCAGTCGGAGTACAGGAGCTCTGTCATAGTTAACAATGTTATGACATGCTGAATCTTATGAATCAACCTGAAAAATACACAAGTAACAGGTTGGCACCAAGGCAAAATTAATATTTTATTTCATCTTCCAACAAGAAGTCCAAGTTTCTCTTCTAAACAAAAATTTAAAAATGCTGCAATATAAAACAATTTCTGTTCCAGTTTATACTAATCTGAATAATAAAAAAAATATAGCAGATTTCTGAAAAATACCTGATTGCAGGAATCTGTTTTGGACAAGTTCTTCAATGAATGGAACAAGGTCTGATCCAATCTCCGTATACTCAATCTTTTTAACCTTTATCCATTTTAGTTTACGTTGAAAGAGTCGTACATACAACTTCTGACTACCAGCTTAAAGTTTCAGTTATGTTCAAATATACAAAAAAAAAAAAGTAATATTAGTGAAAATGTCCCGCACACATTTCATATTATAAAAGCATCTATATATTTATGCACGCATTCTAAAGAAAACCATATACCTTTGCCTCATTCTGACACTTCCCCTTATTAAAGTCACATTAAAGCAGTGCTCAACAAATCCCAGTCGCCAGGTCGTCATGGCAACTAGAAATTTCACCATGGCGCCTGGGTTTTGTCAGTCCTTTAGCTAAAGCGGCTGGCTGAGCAAACAATGGAGCAGCCCACCCGCCTTGGGGAGCATGGAAAGCTCAGGGAGCATTATAGATGGATGGCTGCCCGCCCTGGGGAGCTTTAAGGTCGTCAGCTGAAGCAGCACGCGAGGGAACAGTGATCTTCCTGCAGCTCCACTTCTCACTAACACTGTACAGTGATGTCGGAAGCCGGAATATGACGTCGTTCCGGCATCGGCATCACTACAGGGAGCAGAGAGGAGCTGCAGGTAGATTACCAGTCCCTCGCATGCAGGAAAAGAGAGCAAGCCCACAGGACCTCACAGAAAGATCCACTCAGCTCTCCCAAAAGGTATGGAGGATTGGTGGATTAAAATTAAAAATGTATGTAAATTTGTGAGTGTGTGAGAAAATGTGTGTCTCGGTCAGTGTGTGTATGCCTCTGTCACAGTGTGTGTATGTCTCTGTGTGTCATTGTTTGTGTGTGCCTGTCACAGTGTGTCAGAGAGTCTGTCTGTGTCCATCAGAGAGTGTGTGTCTGTTAGGTACCTGACCCTCTCCGATTATATGAGAGGTGTTTTTAGTCACCTTTTTTCCCCACTTTGTGCCTGACTTGCCATGGCTTGTCCCACCTCCATGTCTGAGATCATCAATCTTTATGAACTCAGCTAAGCCAATGCATCTGTAGTGGTTCTGGTGACTATAGTGTTCCTTTAAGAATTGCATATTTCTCATTGTAAATTAAATTTAGCTATTTTTTTAACCCCTTAAGGACACATGACATGCCTGACATGTCATGATTCCCTTTTATTTCAGAAGTTTGGTCCTTAAGGGGTTAAACTGGCTCTTAACCTTTTTTTTTAGCTGGCTCCTAGATTTAAAACAAATTTCTCAAGCCCTGCATTAAAGCATGTTTTATCTTGCTTTGCAATAATGTTTTTAAATGATATTCTTAGTAAAAAGAACCACAAGACAGTTACCTGAAAGCTTAAAGAATGATGTCAAAGTGTTACAGTCTTCTTCATTAAAAAGACTCATATCATCGTCACATTCCATGATTGTGTTGAGGACCATAAGGAAGTTCCGTAGATAGTACGGGTGTCTAGAATCTTCATTTGTAGATTCCTGCATACTGCTTTCTGTATCATTTTCTATATTCTCTCCTTTATTTTGGTAGTCTTCATCATAAAATGGTTTTGAAAATTCATCTAAAACATTGGAGTCTACCAGAGGATGAATTGGACTCTTGTCCTCAGTAGAAAACATGCTTGCTTTCTTGTCATACTGCTTGCACAATTCAGTAGAGTCTCCACATAAATTACCATGTTCAGAAATTTTACCATGGTTGGCTCCCAGGAAAGTACATTCTTCTAACTTGGCACTGTGTAGTTCTTTGGCAGACTTAACATTATCAATACATTCAGATGAATTAGAACAGCAATCAATACTTTGGTAAATATTATCAATAATTTGTTCTGGTCTATTTTCTTCAATTTTAAGAATAGTTTCTGTATGCAGAGTAGATTTTTTTACATCACTTGTATCTTGTGTGGAACCCTCAGTATGTCCTGTGTCTTCTACTGGAACCGGAGGATTCACATCTTTGCTTAAGTCTCTTTTTACTCTACGTGTTTGGTATTTTCTGGTAAGTCTGGAAGAAAGGCTTCTGGAAGCTGCAGATTTTAAAATTGGCAATTCATTAGGAATGTTAGAAATAGGTCTATTTTTATTAAAATATGGGCTGATTTGCTTTTCATTTTTATCTAGTTTTGCAGATGGGCTCACAGTCATGTCAGTCGTTGTTGTTGCTTTACTGGTATTGTCTTCTTGCAGTTGTGATCTTGGCACATTTGATTTAACACAGTCATCATCCTCAATAAGGATCACATCGTTTTCATCATTGTTTGCTTTTGGGCATGACTCATCCATGTGTCTGCTAATCCCAAACCGAGGTACCAATTCCTTGCACAGAGGGCAAGAGAGTTTTGCAGGGGGAGCATTTTTAAAAAGTGCTTCGATCGTGGAAGACTTTGAAGTTTTGCTTTTAGGACTGTCGCTAGTTCTATTTTTTGATAGGGATAAACTTTTGCGAGGCCTTTTCTTTTCAGGTGACTTGATTTGCGACATCCTGGTGATGGAATGTATTTTTTCCCCCCCCAAATGTTATAGGTTTTTGTTAACCTTCATAACCTACAAAAAAAAAATAAAAAAAAAATAAAAACAACCAAAACACACATTTGAATTGACACTCACTCCTGACTACTGTTTATAAATGGCAGACGTTTAATTAAAAAAATATTGTCATCTTTTATTAATCTAAAACATCCTTCCAGGGTACTTAGAGCCAGAATTTGGTGTCTAGCCAATGAAAACAACAACAACAACAACCCAAAATGTCTATAGGAGTTTATTAATTTCTATACAATTCAGGGTTTACTAATATACTCCTTTGATAATTCACATTTTAATGAATATTTTGACAGATTTTCTCTCTAGATTTTCTTAAGCTAAACTGAAAAAAAAAAGTCAAGTAAAGTTCATGTCAAAGTCAATGTCACTGTATGGAATTCTGGCAAGGGGTAACAATAACCCCAGACTAGCCACCCTTTGTCACTCCACATGTTTTAGACTACATCTCCCATAATGCTCTTACATCCATAATCCTACCCCTACTATAACCTAATGCCACCCCCTCCCTTTACACATTTACCTTTAAGACAGCATGGGCACCGCCATCTCGAGTGTTCACAGCTTTATTTACAGACAGTCGGTGCACGCACAGGCTTGAAACACAAGTTACAGATCATAGATGAGCCTCACCGCCCAACATAACCCGCTTTATGAATAAGGGGACATGTTGCACGAAGCTATCCTGTATGTGGAACCATTGCAACCAGGAACTATTGTACTCCGCAGCAGTTTCCGGTAGGACACATTCTGCCGACGTACTTCCGCTCCTGTGCTGCCCATGTGTATGGATTGCTGATTGCCGTTCGCTGTAGGGGCAGTGATGGCGAACACAGTGCAGTCTCCCCCGGCCCTGGGGCAGTGTATGGAGGTACTGGAGGCAGTGAGTGCCCACCCAGAGCAGCTGCTCAGGTAATGGGGTCAATACATGGAGTGTAGCACTCATTGCAGCACATGGACATATATAGATAATGGTACACAGTGTGTGCAGCACCAACAGCTTCTATAGGTGTACACAGGAAGCCCAGTGTATTCACATTTATTGGAAGCCCTTAGTATATTGGCCACAAAAGGCATATTGGAAATATGTCAGAGCTGGAGAATGTCTCTAAAGTATTTAAAATCCTGGGTTTGTATTCCCTGTTGAGTGAATTTTGTCAGGAATTCAAAGTGAATTTGGAAATTTTAGGCCAAATGAGCTAAAAACTTTGAAAACTTAGGAGAAAATATTTCAGTTCAGTTATTTTGACCTAAACTGAATTTCCAGACAAACCGCACTTCACTGAATAATTCTTGTCAGTATTGCATTTTTTTACAGCAATGCACGTACCTATGTTTTTATAAGTTTGCTGAAAGGCGTAAAGGAGCAGTCTAATGTTACAAATATATATTTGATAGCACCTAGAGGACAAATGTAAAAAGGGTCACCATCCAGTGGTGTAGCTAGTAGTATCCTGTTAAGGGGTCTGGCTGGGCCCTTAGATCTAAACTGCATTTCAGGACTCCGATGGCCCCCTTACTGATGTATGCCAACTGTCACCTTTCTCCTCATAATTGGTAGTGCCAGGAGAGAGTGATGTCCTTTTACTTCCAACTGGCATGTGAAGAAGCCCCAATGGGAGGCAAAGTACACAGAGCCCATAATCTGGACCCCAGGGAAGCCACCTAACTTGTACAGTACAAGATTTAAGAAGGTAAGAGGGTGGCTTAACCCCTTAAGGACCAAACTTCTGGAATAAAAGGGAATCATGACATGTCACACGTCATGTGTCCTTAAGGGATTAAAGGGACATCATAGTCACCCAGACAGCTTTGTCTTATTGAAGTGGTCTGGGTGAAGTGTCCCTGTCCCACTTCGTCCTGCAATGTAAATCTTTGCAGTTTTAGAGAAACAGCAACGATTATGTTATAGGACTAAGACTGCCTTTAGTGGCTGTCAGGCAGCCAATAAAGGCACTTCCTCGGTGCTAATGGACTCTAGGTCCCCCAAATGACACTGGATGTTCTCACGCTCTGCACAAGAACATCAAGGGTCAGTAAAATCTCTACAGGAAAGCATTGTGTTAATGCTTTCCTATGAGAAGGGCCTAATGTGCCCACCTTGCATGCGCATTAGGCTCCCATGTCGGAAGAGGCAGAGTGCTGACCCAACGCTGAAAGAGATTGTTGCTGAAATCGGGTGAGTTAATAAATGTTTTTTTAACCCTCTCTCTGCTAGAGGAGGGCCAAAGGGCACTATAGTGTAGGGATCGACCGATTATCCGTTTTATCAATATTTTCTGCAATATCGGTATCGGCCAATAGAGATACCAATATTGCCGATAATACATAACAGGACCGCCGGGCCCATTGTAAGCCCGGCAGTCTTGGGGGTGCCCGCAGCAAGCTGTTATTTACCTTCCCAGCAGCTCCCTGTGTAAATTTTGTAAGTCCTGTGGCCGTCAGACTGCGAGATTTATACAGGTAGCTGCTTGGAAAGTAACAGCTAGCTGCCGTCCACCACTGCTCAGTACATGCCACTGGACCACCAGGGAATGCCATAGCCCCCCTCCCTGTCCAGGTAACAAGCAGGGAGGGGGGACAAAATAAAACCTATAAATATTCAAAATAAAATTTAAAATAAAAAAAATGCCCCCCCTCCTCATTTTACACAAATTACATCCCTTCGGAAACACACACACACACACACACACACACTTTGCATTATATACACACACACACACACACACACTATGCATTCATTATATACACACTGCATTCACTTTACACACACTACACAAACACACTGCACTCACTTTACACACACTACACAAACACACTGCATTCACTTTACATACACTACACAAACACACACACTCTGCATTCACTATATATACACACTACACAAACACACACAGCTCCCCTGTCTAAACACACTGCATCCACTACATGTGGAATGTTTATTTTGTATATTTACCTTTAGAAATAGTTTAATTTTTCAAAATGGTAAATGCACAGAATATCGGCCATCGGCCTGAAAGTTCACAGATTGTCGGTATCTGCTCTAAAAAAAAAATCAATATCAGTCTATCCCTAGTTAGGAAATACAGATTTGTCTGTGTTTTGTGTGTATCTGTGTTGTGTTGAATATTGTATGGGAGTGTGTGTGTGTCTGGCAGTCAATAGCTTTGTGTCCGATTGTCAATGTTTCAGTGGAAACCTGGCCATTTGGAGTGTAAGGGGCCCAAAGTGTTGAATGTAAACACTGCCTTTTCATCGCATGAACCAAAACCACTACACTAAAGGAAAGTTCCAAGCAGCATGACCACTGGTGCTCCCTATAGTGGTTATAGTGCCAGGTTTGCCTGCCTGCCTCCCACCCAAAGAATAGATTGTCTGCTTTTGTATATTTATAAATATATATAAAAATGATATGATATCAAACAAGAAAAATGATGTGTGAGATATCTATATGACTCCTGTGAAACAAGTTGGTTGGCCATATGTTTAATTCTGTAGGAATATATACATCATATATCCTGTTTATTATGGATAATATACTTTAAATGTCTTGTGCTTTTCTTTCTTAGTGTGCAAGAAGAGTTAGCAGGAAAGTTCTCCCAGTTAACAAAGGTTCTCTATGATTTGCACAAATCCGAACTTGCCCTTGGCATAGGAAGTCCCCTAAAAGAGTTGGTGACTGAAAACTTTGATGACGAGCAAATCTGGCAACAGATTGAACTTCAGAACAGTACAGTTCTAAACTACTTCAAGAATGCGGTCAGACAAAGTGTCAAAGACAGAGAACTGTATCTTGTGGAGCCATCTGAGGAGGAAGCATCAGAATCTGAAGGTGAAACAGAGGAAGATGTTTCAGAGTTAGAACCTGAAGTGAACATAAAAAGAAGGGATGGAAAAGAGAACAGTGGAAAACATTTACCAAAGGCTAATTTCAGAGATGATGATGAATCCGATTTGGACTCTGATGTTGATGAACTGGAGCAACAAAACAAACCGAAACAAAATAAAAAGCCAGAAAGAAAACAAACAAATAAGAAGCCTACAGAAAAGTCCATAGTGGATGACCAGTTTTTCAACCTAGCAGAGATGGAAGCCTATTTGGATGCAGCTGAGAAAGATGATGATGCTAACGACGATGATGAAAGTGAAGAAGACGTAGAGTACTTTGAGGATATTGAGTCTGGTGATGAAGAGGATTTTTTTGACACACAGAAAACAAAGCAAAAGGTAAACTGTTTTCAAGTAGTTAAAGGACCACTGTAACTTTAAGGATACAAACATGTATTTTTAATGCTATAGTCTCAAACTACCTATTCTGGTGGCCTCCCCACTGTGTGAGGGTATGAAAGGTGGGATTTCATTACCTTTCCACTCTGACTGCGCCGGTCTCCACGAAACCTCTTTAGCTGAGATTATCAGTCTTGATGATTTCTTCAAATCCAAAGTTTTCTCAATCTATTGGGACACTAGAGTGTGTGTTTGGCAATGCACTGCATTAATCAAATGGTCTCTATGAAACCATCTGATTGAATAGACTAGTTTCACTTGGCTAAAAGACAGAAGTGCTTCCAATGGCATCTACTAAACAGCATTTTTTTCAGTTGCAGGGTTTAAAAGAAAGGGGCATGGCACTCAGACCACTTAATTAAGATGAAGTGGTCTGAGTGCGTATAGAGTTCCTTTCAATGGTCACAGAGCTGGCCACCAAGGAGCAGTACAGAGTCTGTATCAACTAATGAATTCTGACCAATGCCTTTGTAATTTTATAATTCTAATGTGGCAGTGGGAACTTAAATCTAAACAGATCTTGCAGATATTTGCCCTTTAAGGGACCTTTCAGCCACCGTAACTAGTTCAACTTATTGCAGAAGTTATAGTGCCTGGATACTCTGGGCCGTATCCTGCATTGCTGCTAAGTGGTTTACTCACCATTTATCAGTGACGCACGGTCCCAGCTTCCAGTGACGAAATGGTGAAGACATGCTTTGCTTCACACAGTACACAAGGATTTCTGGCAGTGATCCCTGGTTTGAATTAGTGTGTTGCAAAACGGAAGCATAACTTTGCCATGTCGTAATTGGGACTGGACTGCAGACTGTCGGGGACCAAACATCTCTACTGAAAGTAAGTAAAATGTTTAGCAGGGATGTGGCATATGGTTTCCACCAGCTCCAGGCACCATAACCACTTCAATCATTTGATGTGGTTATGTTGCCTGCAGTGTTCCTTTAAAATAAAATAAAGTACATAGAAGATTAGCACAAAAAATGCCTCCAATGCAGTTCAACAATCCCTTGTTGTTCTGGTGACTATAGAATTCCTTTACCACACAACTACAGCTTAAAGGACCACTATAGGCACCAAGACCACTTCAGCTCAATGAATTGGTCTGGGTGCCAGGTCCTAATAGTTTTAACCCTGCAGCTGAAAACATAGCAGTTTCAGAGAAACTGCTATGTTTACACTGTAGGGTTCCAGCCTCTAGTGACTGTCTGTCTCCTTGACAGACGCTAGAGGCACTTCCGCAATTTACACGGAGTAAATTGCACTTATTTGACACTGGACGTCCTAGTGGACCTCCAGCGTCAAATAAGATCCCCATATGAAAGCATTGAGTATTGCTTTCCTATGGGCGCTTTTGAATGCGCGTGCGCCTTTGGCCGCGCATGCACATTCGGCTCTACTCGGAAGCTGCCGTCGATGGAGAGGTCACCAGTGCCGGATTAAGGTAAGCAAATAAATGGTTAATTAACCATTTATTCGCAGCGGAACAGGCCCTAGTCACCGTTTAGGTGACTAGGGCTCTATAGCGTTAGGAATACATGTTTGTATTCCTAACGCTATAATGTTCCTTTAATGTAGTTGTTCTTGTGTCTACTGCCTGTCACTGCAGGCTTTTTAATGCAAACACTGCCTTTTCAGAGAAAAGTGCCTAGGCATTCACTCGGGCCACTAGAGGTACTTCCTGGGTCAGTGCTGCACAGTGTGCATCACTGGCGTTCTGCATCACCACGCTCTGCATGATTCAATTTATCTCTATTAGGAGATGCTGATTTGTGCAGGGCAATTGCAAATTTGACAGTGACAGAGTTCCCTACCGTACTTTAACTCAATCCCAGCCCATACAAACTGTCAATCTGGCGGCCACAGCACCCCTCTCTGGCTTGTTGGTGTTTATATCTAAAAACAACTTGCAAAAGCTGCAGTTCTTGTATCCCAGACTTTCTGTTTCTGTCCAATCACCGACTTCCCAATGCAGCTCAATGAGAAGTATTTTCAAGCCAGGTACTCTAATCAATTGCCTACTTCTAGAGTTTTGTTCTACTGAGCAAAACTACCTGGAAATAACAGGGCCAGATTGACAGTCAGGCGAGTGGAACAAGATGGATTTATAAAGATGCCAATTTCCAATGAAAAAAGAGGGCATACTTGTGACGCATAAAGCACTTCAGCAAGCTAAAGTGCTCTCGGGGTCTGGACTGTCCATGTAAGTGTATCTGTTATACTCCTTCATACAGCTGCTGTCATGAGCATGAACGTGGGGTGGAGGGTATCTTTAGAAAAAGCCCAGATCCCACAAATGTTTATATTTTCTTTTTACTTGTTAGCATATTTTATGGATGTTGACATGCTTAAATGCTACAAGAACTGAAAATTTAGAATTATATTTTCCAGGAAAGCAAAAGTTCCAGAGACCTTTATTACAAAGACTACTTTGACTCACTAGAAGGTGATCAAGAGGACATGGAAGAACAACCAAGTGAGGAAGATGATTTGGAAGAAAATGAAGATAATGAGGAGGGGGCTTTGTCTGATGATGCCAATGAACAAATGAGTGAATAGTAAGGAACACTTTTTTTTCTTTCTATATTAAATAGTTTCCTGGGAACTAGGGTAGTGAATATATGGATTAAACACTGCAAAACAATAAAGTTGTTATGCACATGTCCCCATTGTCTTAGTTAAAATTACTGATTTTAAAAAGAAATCTGCATTTTTATAAACCCACTTGATAACACCTTTCCGAATTTTGAGCAGACAGCTTAGAGGGTCGTCTTCCTCTATCACTTTCAACACTCACACAAAGACGAAGTGAGGTCTTCTCGTAGCAAAGCATTGGTTTCATTGGATTTTGAGGGATATTGCTGGTGTATTGCAATGATTGCTGTGCATCTCAATGCTGCTCTAAAGCAATGAGTTGACCAGGAGATTATCACTAGTTCTGATCTCTCTGAGACGAAGAGGAGTTCTAGTGACAGAACAGTCTCACTGCAGGATTAGAGGCAAATACTTTTGGAGGGTGAACATATCAGCATTATAAATGAATACACTGATACTTAACATTAACATTGTTCCTTTAAAATTAACTCCAGAGGCTTCCACCTGCACGACAATGTAATGGTTCACATTTAGGCAGATAATTAGAGTACAGATCCTTATCTGTGATGTAGTGAAAATGTTCTTTGAGTATTCTTTACAGGCTTTGAGTATTACATTTCTGTGGTCCTCATTGTGCATGTGAGGTGCTTGAATGTAATAAATACTTTTAATAAAAATGCAGGAAATATAATTGTCTTTTGTAAACGCGGTTGAGAATGATTTTGTTTCTTATATGGTACCTGCTGGATAGCAATAAGAATGCGCTTATATTTGGGTGAAACACTAACCTTGGCCTCTTCCTACAGTGATGAAGAAGAGGAGGAACCAATGGAGGAAACTGAGGAGAGCAAAAAGGCCAAGGAAACTTTCAAGCGGGTAACGTTTGCTATATCTGATGAAAGTGAAGGTGAAGACATTGGTGATATCCTTGGTGGAAAGAAGCAACATGATGTATCGGAACCCAGTGAGCCAAAGTCCTCCTTTGAGAAACGGGAAGAAAAGGTTAGTGAGCGATTATTCTGACATTGAGTTTAATCAAAGGCTAACATTCTATTCAGCTGTTTTAAACCTTAATCAACATATTTGATAAGTCCCGAGATCTGTATATTAGAAGTAATTAGCTAGGTTACAATATTCCCCCATTCTGCTCCGCAGAACCTCTCTGTTGCAATGCCATGAAGTGTCTTCTCTCCGATAGTGTGTAACTTTTTGTCCGACAACACTGCCTTTTTTAAAGATTGATAAATGCTGTGTTGTCAGCCAAAACATTGCTCTTTTCCACACGTGGTACTTAGATAAAGGGAGACTGAGGACATGGTGGGTATATTTTTGTGTCCTTTGACCTGTACTGGTCTGTAGGTGGGCCTGACTTTCTTTGCACCCTCTGTGGTAAGTGCTGTCTGTATTTTATATTTACCATTCCTACAGTCATGAAGGGGAATGAGTGAGTTAATGGGTCCTAACATTTCACTATTGGCATTCCGGCTATACCTTTTTATTTTAGAGATTTGATTTAACTATATTTATTGTCGGTGGTCCGTATTCTGAAACGCAGACATTCATTTAACATACTGTTGCTTTTTCAGTAAGCCTTATGGCTAATAATACCTTTTAGAATCCTTACAAATACCTATAAGCAAGGTATTTGACGATTTATATCTGTCTATTTTTGTCACACCTACTGTGAGAACAATTGTATTTTTTGCTTTTATACTACCCTTATAGACACTGTGTGAAATATTCCAAGATAAAAGTACACTGTATTCGGTCTCTAAAGGTTTAAATATTTTTTTAAGGATGAAGGAATAAATGAAAAATAAAAATGTTAGCAAATTTATGCAATAATAATTTTTAAGCTTACCTGAAAAGTCGCCTGTACACTAAATTGCGGTCTTATTATTTGTATATGTGCTATCTACACATCCTCTTGTTTCAAATAAATGCTAATATTTTTCAAAAATAATCTTATTGGTGAAGGGGTCACTATCATTTAAATAAATTGACGTCCATGAAAATAGTGACGCAAGATTGCTGCATGATACAGTTGCACTTTATCAACGCTGGTGGTTTTTTGTTTCACACACAACTAGAATTTCTAAATCAGGACTTTGCTGTGAAAGACAAACTAAGAGTAGCAGTATTTCAATAATACAGTCTGTTTATTTGTAACTTTTATAGTCTGTTCAGGCGGACGTGCGAGTAACACTTAAATAGACAGCAACAGAGGCTGTATTTATCTGTATGATTGTAATATCTCCATTTATTTCCATTTCCCACATTCTTATCTTATCAATCTCTATTTCTTTTTTTTCTATTCAGATGACAGAGAAAATTAATGCCTTGCAAAATCAAATGCTGGCTGAGAAAGCTTGGCAACTTAGTGGTGAGGTGACGGCACAGAAAAGGCCTGAAAACAGTCTGCTGTCAGAGACCTTGCAATTCGACCATGCCATCAGGATGGGTAATTCATTTAATTGTATAAATCCGCAGAGAAATTCCACTGGCTTCCTGTTTCTTATCTAACAGAATTCTGATCTGTTTTCTCACAGCACCTATTATCACAGAGGAGACCACAGTACAGCTAGAAGATATCATTAAACAGAGGATAAAAGACCAGGTTAGTACGTGCTTTCTGTACCTGGTGACTCTGTTTGGTTATTCTTCCTGTTATGCCGTGTCTTGTGCATTCTAGTGTTGTCTTAAAGGGACATTATAGGCATCCAGATAACTTAATATCGTTGAAGTTGTCTGGGTGCAGTGTCCCTGTCCAACTTAGTCCTACAGTTATAGAGAATATGCATTGATTACATTGCAGGACTAAGACTGCCTCTAGTGGCTGTCAATCAGACACTACAGGGTTTGTTTTGATCCTAATGGACGTTTCGTTGCCTAAGTGTAGCTGGACATCCTCACGCTCTGCGTTTCTACGTCCAGAGTCAGAGAATTTCCCATAGGAAAGTATTGAGTTGCACATGAGCAATAGGCTCCCCCATGGGAGGAGGCAGAGCACAATCCAGAATCGGTTGAGTAAACAAAGGTTTTTTTTGGGGGTGGGGTGGGTGGGTCGGGTGGTGGGAGGAGAGGAAGGTTGAACCCTTCACATGCCAGGAGGAGACTAGATGCCACTAAAGTGTAAGAAATACAACTTTGTATTCCTTACACCATAGAATCTCTTCAAGCACATGTTGATTATATGACTTACTGTATATTAATTCAACATTCCCTTCACCCAAGAAATATGGGATCCCAGGCTACCATTACATTTAATAACTCAATAACTTATCTACCTACTCATTTTACCCACCCCATCTCTAACCCACGTTAACCTGTCTTTTATCTCCATTTTACCTTCCCACTCTCTCCCGATTCTCATTTAACATGCCAACTCACCCATTTATTCTATCCTGCCTTTTCCAATAGCATTTCTGTCTGTCCTAATCTTACTTGCTGAAGTTTACCGGATACTTTGTGTATGTCCACATTTTAACCCATTCATGGCTGAGCGTTTTCCTTAATGATGTTGTTTTATGACAGAGGAATTTTTGGGCATTTTTGCTATGTGTTTTTTTCACCCTACTTTAACACTTTTTTTTTTTACTTTTAGGTGTATCCATATGCAAAATATACAGACGCATAGGGCTTTCTACTGATTCCCTATGTGTATACTGACAACTATATCAGTTATGAATAAACTATTAAAGCAATATAAAGCTCTTAAGGAAAATAACTTAAAGCAAATGCACTTATTAATCCCTGTTGTGAAAATACCTCACATGTCTAGGATTGAATTTATGGAAGCTATAGGACAAATATGATATATAGTGAATTGCTGTTTGACAACTACTAGCCAAATTAAGCATGCTGACACTTTAACGTTAATAGCAGTCAGAGTCCAAAATCATTTTACAAAAGTATATATGTTGTAGAATGTTTAGGTTTAATTTCACTATTATACAATATTTGTATTCTTTTACTGCTGTCCAGTACAGCAATACTCTACATGTATATCTTTGCTAGATTTGGGGGTAGTTTATAGGGTCACCTTTGAGACATGCGTTAATTCTGACATGCCTCTTTACGTGCTTCCCAGATATGCTTTGTGCTACTGTCCAGAGTCACACTGACGCTATTTATAACCCTAAAGCTAACCCTTACTGTGTTAGCTTTGGAACCAATCATGGATTTACTGCAGGACTCCCTTGTTGTGAGATTGGCAAGTTTATTCAACTACAGCATCTAGGGATCAGTTGACAATCATGCTGTAGGACACACCTGTCACAGCAGTCCTAGCTATGATGGCATCTTGAGGATGCTGCTCGACAACTTTAGGAGTGAGATTGCCTAGTAACTGCATGTAAACATCACAATCACAGAGATTATGGCATGTACAACTTTTAATAAAGGTCGTTCGGCCGTCTAATATAGATAATACATGGCAGTTACAGGGGTGGCTGTCCCCGTTATCGTCTGCTTTGTGGGTCCTCCTTATAGCTATTTCTGTAATGCTTACTAGGAAGGCCTCCAGAAATTGCTATATCGTTATCACCATGATTGTAGCAATATTAGGAACATTTTAAGCATAGTCCGTATGTGGTGCAGAGCTCATCCTGAAGTACAATGGGACAGCCCTCTACTACATATGTGTTAGTTAAAGTAGAAACATAGAATGTGACGGCAGATAAGAACCATTCGGCCCATCTAGTCTGCCCCCTAAATACTTTCATTAGTCCCTGGCCTAATAGTTAGGATAGCCTTATGCCTATCCCAGGCATGCTTAAACTCCTTTACTGTGTTAACTTCTACCACTTCAGCTGGAAGGCTATTCCATGCATCCACTACCCTCTCAGTAAAGTAATACTTCCTGATAATATTTTTAAACCTTTGTCCCTCTAATTTAAGACTATGTCCTCTTGTTGTGGTAGTTCTTCTTTTAAATATAGTCTCCTCCTTTACTGTGTTGATTCCCTTTATATATTTAAATGTTTCTATCATATCCCCCCTGTCTCGTCTTTCCTCCAAGCTAAATACATTGTAGCTCTGTATAACCTTAAATGAAATATCTGAGCAGAGAATGAGAGGCTTTGATATTGTGGTCAGACCATATTTGGCAGTGAACGAGGTTATTACATTATTGTTCAGTTTAAAAAAAGGAAACTTTTTTTAAAAATTTATTTTTAATTGCGGTTCTGTGACCCATTCTCCGTTATCTGTGGTGGGTTGGGGGTTTATATCATGCCAAACCAGTATTTAATCGGATATTTATTTATCTGAATTTTTGATTTACTAAACTGTATGTATTTTTTTTTTTTTTTTTTAAAGTGATTTTTAAAATGTTCTTTCTTATCTCTAAGATATGGGATGATGTTGTAAAGAAGGAAAAACCAAAAGAAAACCCATTTGAATTTAAGAAGCGACTTACTTTGGACCACGATAAAAGCAAACTTAGTCTTGCAGAGATATACGAACAGGAGTATTTAAAACTCAACCAGGTAAGATGTTAAATAACTTTTAGGAATGGATTACAAATTGTTATTCTTTGCCACCTGCTTTCCAGACACCTGGCAGTTCATTTAAAAAAATGTTTGACTGCTCACAAGCAGTCAAAAAAAATGTGATTTCACTACTATAATGGGTTATGAAAATAGGCATTAATACTCATTAAATCACTGTTTGGGAGGGATAACGACTTTGGACCAATTATTGATAGAAGGATCAATCAAAACCTTTGCTCAAATAACAGGGATATATAATCTTCCTCCTAGAGAGGTGTTTAATTTTTTAAGACTTAAAAGTTATATGAATACACACCTTATAATACCAAAATCTAATCTGAGCAATTTGATAGATTTATTATTCACGTAAAAAAAAAATCAATAAACCACTTTCTAAAGCTCTGATATTAATTAAATCAATGGTTAAAGATACAAATCCTACTGCCATACAGGTTTGGAAACAAGATTTGAATAATTTGAATCAATGGGGTTTTTCAATGATGGATGTTAAGAAAAATATACATTCATTAAATTTATTAGAAACGCACTTTAAAGTTTTAAATAGGTGGTACTTAGTACCAGCTAAATTGAATAAAATTTACCCTTTAATTAATCCTATCTGTTGGAGATGTAGTAGTATTAGAGGCAATTTTAGACATATTTGGTGGGATTGTCATAAACTAAAGAATCTCTGGTTGAAAATACAGCATTTTATATCCAATAATTTAAAACTCGAGTTGATAATTTCTCCAGAGGTAGTTCTACTGCATCTGAATTGGCCTCATATGACATATGAATTAAAAGCAATTCTTATACATCTTTTTTTAGCGGCTAAAACAGTAATTGCGAGATGGTGGAAAAAGGATTTAGAAGTCCCCTGGAAGAAAGTTAAAATTCAACTCGAGTTTCAGATTAGAATGGAGTTGATGCTAAGTAAACAAAGATTAAGCAATAAGATTTCTGTTTGGTCAAAATGTATTGAGATGATTGATGTAGAACATAATGTCGATCAATTAGAAGTAGAATAATTCCATGAACATTGTAAATAATTATGAGACTTATCTAAACGATATTAACACTCTACTATGGAAACTTTTTTGATGTATTTTTCTCTTCCCTCCCCTATTTTGCTGCTATGTTGTTTTTGTATTGTAAATGTATATTTGTATGATATATGTACTTGTATGATATATGTATTTAATTAGGTTTAAAAAAATAAAGATTAAATATTCAAAAAAAATAAATCACTGTTTGGGAAAGGGTGTAACAAATTTTGTTTTATTGTTGTAGAAAAAGACAGAAGAAGAAGAAAATCCAAAACATGTAGAAATCCAGAAAATTATGGACAGTCTCTTCCTAAAGCTCGACTCTCTCTCCAATTTTCATTTCACTCCTAAACCGGTAACATATTCATTATTATTTTTATTTTATTTTTTCTGTATGTAGCAAAGTTGTGAAATAAACACAAACAGAAAAGAAGCACATAGGCACTTACAACTTCTAATGAAGGACATCTGATGCATTCAAAATACTTTATTAAAGTAACCATTCCATTGATTGGATCATTTTCACAGACTGTAAATCAGTGCTAAAACATTCATAGTAAATTGGTGCTGCTGTATCAGTATATGTGTCTGACCCTCTCTCTTACTTAATAAACATGTACACACGGGTAACATATTTCAAAGCTTTACCAGGCAGGAAAGTAACCAATTTACCCAATGTGATGTATATGTTAAACTAGAATCTCTACTCATTTGTTTTATTATGGCTGCGTATTCAAATATGATAGATTCACCTTTTATGCTGCAGCCACATCTCCTGCTATCTTTAATCTAGCTCTTTTTAACCTTACTGATGTTCCGCTCGGCTTCTGGGTAGAGTGAGACACCATGTCTCTCTTTACAGGACTTTGCCAGCAATAAGTGTAAGGAAGGGGAGTAATGTATCAACTGCTTTCATGTACTTTCCATTATGTGTTTGATAGAGAGCCTTTCTGTTTCTGTACACCTTCCATGGACAAACTTTACACTTCTAGAACGTTTAACAGATTGTTTTGGCAAAAGAAGGTATTTGGTTAAAAAAAAAATATATATTATTGAGTTGACAGTAGAGTGCCGCAGAAAATTTATTTGGGAGGATAGTGACGTGCTTTGCAAAAGCTTGCAATTGATTAAATCATTTTTAGGAGTTTTGTTTATTTTTATTTTTTTTATTTCCTTAGGCTATTCCAGAAATTAAGGTGGTCTCTAATGTTCCTGCAATCAGCATGGAAGAAGTGGCACCAGTGGCTGCCAGCGAAGCAGCGCTTGTTGCCCCAGAGGAAGTCAAGGTAAGAACAATTCACAGTAGGGAGGAGGGCATTACCAGTCGGATTTGGCAACTTCCCTGGGGTCTGCCAGAAGCCTGCTGCTGTGTCCTCTTCTGTCGCTGAACGTTTTTGCGAGGGACTTCCATTGGCTCCACTGAGCAAATCCCTGGACTGCAGAGATGGGTCATTGGCTAAGAGTGTCAACTAAAAGCTCTCGGACAGCGTGGCCCTGCTCTCGGGGGCTTGGCACAATGGCAGATCTCCCAGAAGAGGCAAGTTGTCAAACCATTCTTAAACAGTCTGACTACTCACTCTACTGGATGCTAGGGTATTCTAGCATACTGCAGTGGTTATGGTTCGTGGAGTGTTCCCTTCATGTTTGTATTTCAAATAAAACTGCACCAATTTGTTTTGACAATGTATTGTAATTGTTTTGCTCTCTTTAAACAGGAGAAGAACAAAGCAGGAGACATAAAAACTAGAGCAGAGAAAACCTCCACTGACAAAAACAGAGACAGGAGAAAAAAGAAACTCACTAAAAGGCTGAAAATAAAAGAGAAGGAAAAACGGCTTCAGTTGGTGGAGAAGACCAGGGCAGAGAGTGGAAAGAAACCTACCAAACAAGCTGCTGAAGCCAACCTGAAGAAGCTGGCCAAGGAGGGAAAAGCCACTATACTAAAGGTTAGTATACAAACACTGTAGCAAGATCATTCAGTGTTATTGGGGTTTAAAAGCCGTAGCAGTAAACTTGTCTTAGAAATCCTTGGGAACTCTGCTATTTTCTTTAATTATTTTCGTCCTCAATGTTTAAAAAAAATAAAAAATAATAATATTTCTGAACATGTTCCTCTTATTAAAAAAAAAAAAAAAAATCAAATCAAAATCTCATTATCTGTGCGGGGCTTTTTATTAACAAAATAATTCTAATATCTATTGTCGTACTAACACTGAGTACAGGAAGTGCTTATGTTTTGACAATGTATGTATCGTAGTGTTGTGTACGTTGAAGTCATTTTGACATGGAACATTGAGTTACATAGATAAGTAACTGTTAAAAGCATTACACTTTTGCATTGAAGTTGATTTTTATTTTTTAATTTTCCATATTTTAACCCCTTAAGGACACGACATGTGACATGTCATGATTCCCTTTTATTCCAGAAGTTCTGTCCTTAAGGGGTTAACATATGGGCTTGTCTGGATGGTTGCAAAATTAAAGTTCGTTAATCATTTTACGATACCCTGTGTTTCTGAAACATCTTTCTGTGTAACCTGAGTGAGGGCTTACCTCTGCCCCCAATTATACTGCATATATTAATGGCTGAAAAAAGTAGCCCAATTAGCATTCTGTTATGACAAGGAAGAGTCACCCCCAAGGTAAATTAACCTTTGCATTTCACTAAAGTAAAACGGACACACTGTAGAATAAAACCATAGTTACAGGGGGAAACACAATCTGTTATTGGATATATGAGGTACTGTCAGCAGTTGATAAATTATGTGTTCTTTGTTACAGGATGAAGGAAAGGATAAGGCTTTAAAGTCCTCTCAAGCATTCTTTTCCCAGCTGCAGGATCAAGTTAGAGTGCAAATTAAAGGCGCAAAGGTAGCACAGAAGAAAACAAAGAAAGGAAACGAACTTTCTGCACACAAACTCAAATTGTAGCACAATGTTTATGTTGTGCGACGACCTAATTGCATTTATACAGATTCAATAGGCGGATGTGTAAAAAGAATTATCGCTTGTTATACATGGAGGGTTTTTGTATAATAAAGTATTTTAAATAATCTAGTACTTTTATTTTTTTCATCTTGCCCTAACATTGCACAAACAGGAACATCAACACACGGAACACGAACATACTCACAATTAGTGGGAGTTGACACAGTTATTGGCAGAAGTGGAGGGGAAAAAGGGGTTTATTTGCAAAACTCAAAAGCAGTTAAATGAAGCCAAAGCTCCAAATGCAACTCTTTGGGTTTTTTTTTTGGTTTGTTTTTTTTAAACCATTAGCGTTCCATGCAAATTTCAGAGACCTCATTAACCATAACCGCCGAGGTCCAAAGGGGTGGAGTAGGAAGGCTGACACTCAAAATGCAGCTTCAGTTGCTGAATCTAGCTCAGTAAACTGTACTCCAGAAAGATGGTACGATATAATGTAAGGGAGCAGATGCCTTCCTCACTTGTTCTCCACAGTATGCCTCAATAGCAAAAGCGGAGCTCTCCATGCAAATAGTTGATACTTCGTCTGCTCAGAAAAGGGAACCAGATTCTGTGCAGAAATAGGAATCTTAGCTACAAGTCAGAGTTTAAACTATTTGCCAGTAAGTAGACAAATAGATGCAATTTAGTTCAGTGCAAGCATCAGTCTGACATGGGGGGTCATGCTCCAGCCCAGATAGTTTTCATTGAGAAAAAGCTTGGAAACGTATTCAGAATTCCCATTGAAGTGCATGGATGTTGGGGAACCCGGTTTGGAGGTAAATGTTAAAGGTAAATTGTCAGGGGAAAAAAAGCGGTTTTCCTGACACTATAGTCCCCCCACCCTCAGGGTCCCCCTTCCTGCAGTGCTGAAGGGGTTAAAACCTCTTCAGCAGCTTACTTTATTCCAGCACCGGGCTCACTCAGCGCTGGTGACCTCTCCTCCCCTGTAAGACGTCAGAAGAGCCGAATGCGCATGCGCGGCAAATGCTGCGCGCATTCAAAGTGTCCATAGGAAAGCATTTCTCAGATGCAGGGCTGTCTGGAAGACAGCCACTAGAGGTTGGCTTAACCCCAAATGTAAACATAGCAGGTTCTCTGAAACTGTTATATTTACATGTGAAGGGTTAAAACCTGAGGGACCTGGCACCCAGACCACTTCATTGAGCTGAAGTGGTCTGGGTGACTATAGTATCCCTTTTAAGATTGTGATTTGGCTAAAGGTAGATGGAAATATTTGTAAGTTTACTAATTGTTGAGTAAATAATCACTTTTCTTGAAAAAGAGGTATGATCAAGATGAACAAGAAGCTAATCTGAATAGGAAGCTAACTTTAGCCTTCGAATAAGAAGCCTCCAGCATTGTGGTTAAAAGAGCACTAGCAGCATCTGGGGACGTTTCAGAATTTGCAAAGACCTTTAATGTTGACATTGCTCTTCCAGTTCCGGGGTAGGGGAGAGAAGGTAAGGGTGAGTTCTATTTACTAATTTAGAGTGGATTGGCCAGAAAGGGTAAATGGGGATGTAAACTGGCAGGGGTGCTTGACATGCATTCATAAAATGTTTATCACAGAGATACACAACAATGGGCACTGTGTATTAGTGAAGTACAGAGCTCCACAGCAATTTGCATAGTGTATTAGTGAATTACAGAGCTAAACAGCAATTTGCAGTTTGTATGAGCAGATCGCATAACTCCACAACAATGTGCACTGTGTATGAGTGAGTTACAGAGCTCCACAGCAATATACACTGAGTGAATCACAGAGCTCCACAGCAATGTGCACGGTGTATGAGTGAATTACAGAGCTCCACAGCAATGCGCACTGTGTATGAGTAAATCACAGAACTCCCAATGAAAAGTGTATAAGTGAAATCCTAGAACTTCACAGCAATGTGTAAGAGTAAATCACAGAGCTCCACAGTAATGTGCACGGTGTATGGACAAACCACAGCTCCATTGCAATGTGTATGAGTGAATCACAGAGCTCCATGGTAATGTAGACGGTGTATGAGTGAATCACAGAGCTCCATGGTAATGTAGACGGTGTATGAGTGAATCACAGAGCTCCATGGTAATGTAGACGGTGTATGAGTGAATCACAGAGCTCCATGGTAATGTACACGGTGTATGGACAAACTACAGCTCCATAGCAATGTGTATGAGTGAATCACAGAGCTCCAAATGGTTGTGCACTCTGTATCAATATACCATACAGAGCTCTGAACACATGCGCTAACTAGGATCACAGAGCCCAACATTCCAATCTTCCTAAGCTACCTTTGTTAAAGACAGTGCATCTCCTCCTATGGCCAGTTCCTGGGCATTTTAGGTGACATGTCCTATGAAAAGTCATTAAAATGACTTTAAATAGAAAGTAGTAATTTCCAAGTACAATTATTACAGGTTAGACCCATTACTATGGAAATAATTGCTGTGGGGCTATGTCTTACAGTCACTCAGACCCTACACACACTGTGAGCTCCTACAAAACAAGTACTGGGGGGTATAACGAAGTTAAAAAAAAAAAGGGAGGGGGAGAGGGACCCTATGTCTCCATCTATGGCAGCACTGCAGACTGTCACAACCACTGCTGATCCCAGTGCTAGAGCTCTGAGCTTCACACTGGCACAGAGCACAGACTATAACAAGCAGCCTCCTCCCCTTACTGTCAGCATTCTGCGCCTTAATAAAGTTATTGACAAAAGCAAGATGGCCGCGTCCATGGTCAGGGTGACAGGTAATTAGAAAGCTGTTCGGGCATTGGGGTTTGGAGGATTTAGTCAGCAGGAAGGATGGGGAATCCTGGGAGGGAGGGGAACTACCAATGTCATATAGGGTGTATATTAAATGTTTAAGTGTTTAATTTAGAAACAATCACCCTGGCTGGGCTGCATGAGACCATATACACAGATTTCTAGTTTATAACCCATTTTATTAATGCTTTTTTAACCCCTTAAGGACCAAACTTCTGGAATAAAAGGGAATCATGACATGTCATGTGTCCTTAAGGGGTTAAAAGGTCTCAGATTTAAACATATATTATGAATAATGTATGCCGTGCTTGAGTAAAAACCTGAATAATGTTAGTTTCGTTATTGAACTTTCTACGTTTTATGAAGCAGAATTATGGATCACAAACACCCTGGGGATATTTACTTGTACATGTTGTTTACCTCCACAACCCAGCTGCACCTGAACCATAGATATATTGGTAAATTGTGTTGTCTAAATAATATATAGGATAAAAGCTAGTTTATGTGTTAATTATACTGTTATTTTATTATCAGATGTAGTTAGTCAAGGAAATATATTTGTACACTTAAGCATAGGATGTAAAAGGACAATACAGCGCTTTGGCAAGTTAGCCCTTCATTGTATGACATTGCTTTGCACTGATAGTAAGATGGAAAAAAAAAGGAAGTGTTTAGGTAATAAGAAAAAGCCTAACCCTCTAGAAGTGGTTTATTATTGCCATTTATATAGCGCCAACAGATTCCGTAGCGCTTTACAATATTATGAGAGGGGGGGATTTAACTATAAATAGGAAAATTACAAGAAAATTTACAGGAACGATAGGTTGAAGAGGACCCTGCTCAAATAAGCTTACAGTCTATAGGAAGTGGGGTATAAAACACATTAGGACAGGAAATAGCAATCAAATAAGGTGGGAGTGAAGCGGAGCTGGAGGAGAGATTGCTGCCCTTTAGGAGAGCGCAAGAGACAGGTATGTGAGGTAGAGGTTACTCTGGGAGGCCATACGCTGTCCTAAAAAGATGGGTTTAAAGGCCATTCTTAAACGATTGAAGACTAGGGGAGGGTCTGATGGCGGTAGGCAGTCTATTCCATAGGAAGGGAGCCACCTGTGAGAAGTCCTGCAAGTGTGAGTTGGCCGTGTGGGTGCGAGCAGCGGACAGGAGAAGGTCACGGGAAGAGTGGAGAGAAGGGGCATACCTATGGATCTGTGAGGAGATATTAGAGGGGCTAGAATTGTTTAGTGTTTTATAGGTATGGGTTAGAACTTTGAATTGACTCCTATAGGATACAGGAAGCCAATGTAAGGACTGACAGAGGTGTGAGAGGACAGACTAGAAAGGAAAATCAGTCTGGCGGCGGCATTCATTACAGACTGTAGTGGTGGATTACGGCTTTTGGGAAAACCAATCAAGAGAGGGTTACAATAATCCATGCGGGAAATTACTAGAGCATGGACAAGCTCCTTGGTAGAATCTCGTGTAAGAAAGAGGTGGATGTAGGCCATGTTTTTTTTTAAGATGGAATCTACAGGATTTGGCGACATACTGGATGTGAGGTCTCAAAGGTGAGGCCACAATCAAGTATGATTATTTGCAAAGTTCAATTAAAGGAACACTCCACTGGTAAATAAATAAATAAGGTTTCACTAGTGGGTAGATATTTCCTCAAAGAAAACATGCATGTGTTTATTTTTAATTTATCTGTGAGAATATGTATATAAAAAACAGCTTTAAAAAGTTGCAGATCTGATCTTTTTCCCATCACTGAACAGCCTCTGTAGTCAAACCACAAAAGTATGTGTGTACATTGAGCTGTAGTACATGGCTTTCCTTAGATGGACTTCTCAATGAGCTGTAGTACATGGCTTTCCATGGATAAACTTCACAATGAGCTGCAGTACAGCTCATTGAGAAGTATTGGCATTCACACTCTAGTTTTGTGGAGCTAACAGAAGCAGAAGAAAAACTCCTGAGCAATCTTACAGCTTGGCAGATGTAGTGGCACCTACCTATAAAAGGGCTGTTTAATTTTTTAAATTGTCACTTTTTAAAAAAAAAATTGAAAACAAATGAGTCACTCCATATGCATAAAGCAATCCAGCAAGCTAAGGTGCTTTATATTTGGTCTGTTCCTTTAAAGCTCCAAATTTTAAATGGGCACTGTGGTCACCAGAACCACTACAGCTAATGTAGTGATTTCAGGGAATATAGTCTTCCCCTGCTTGCTTTGCAGTGTCAACACCACCTTTTCTGAGGAAAGGCTATGTTTACACTGCTGCCTACGGCTATCTCGATTGGCTGTCACTCTGAGAGCCACCAGAGGGGCTTGCTGGG